TCCGCCCTGATATGTTCTCGCGCTTGAACCTTACGAGTTGTCAGTCCAGTACCACAGTCAACTGCCTTGGATGTTACACAATAAATCGATCCAGTCACCTCCACCTTCAAAATCCAATAACAATCACTATATATATCCACACGGATAATCAACTCATACAGCCATACTTCTGATTTTCCCCATAATAAGTTTCCCTTAGCACTTGTAATTGGCTCACATGCCCCCCTTACCGCTTTGGCCGCCGTGCAAGAATCTAAGCTCGAAGTTCTGTTGATAGGGATGGGCAGTCACAACAGCAAAACAGAATGACATGACCAACGTAAAGAAAACGTTGACATAGTACCAGTTGATCATGTAGTGTGTGTACATTTGCCATTTCCGTTTGTTTCCCAGACCTCGCAGAAAAAAACAAACTGACTTGGGAGGCTGTTCTCTAGGTATGCGAGAAATCTTGTTGCCATTTTATTAGCTCTGCCAGGTTGCCACTTGTAGCCTCTTGCTCGAAGTCCCTCTCAATCTGTGTGTGTGGTGTTGTTTGGAGTGTTGTTAGTGGAAGAGAGCGTAAACAGATTCAGTGGAAATTCCGCCCATTACATCCAGGTATATTTCCCAAAGAGCTGTATCCACAATATATAGCTTAGTGTAACACCATTGGCCATATTTAGGGCTGAAATCATAGGTGCTCCAATCAAGCTAACCTACTGCCCTACCTGGGCTTAACCACAACACACACACGCACACACACTGGCTAAGGTTGTGCACTAATATGAACTGGGGCAGTTGTATTAGTGTAGTAAGTACACGTGAAGGAGTGGAGTTGGGAGTTGAACACTCACATGCTGGTTGACTTGCGAGGATCTAGCATACACCGAGAGCAAGACTGCGGAGGAGACAAGTAACGTGGTCCATTGTACACCACACCACAGGACGTTTTTTATATATCAACCACCCACACAATGTAATGAGTATTTTCCTGTGTACATGTCAAAGAAAAGAGAAGTAGGCTTACGTGGAGATCGTGGAGATAGGCCTGCTCTGTGTCCAAGATATCCTTCACTACCTGACACCAGCAAAAAGAGAATTTTTTTACCCCTCTATAATTTTCTTACATGTACGCTAATAAGACATTCTATCCAAATAGCGATGGCACCGCTAGAACCTGTTACACTAAACAAGAACGTCTCTCCATTCAGGACAGTTCAGTTGTTAGTTAACCACCGAATAAAGGACACTCTTCATATGGACGACAGTTTGTTCATGGTCCAGAGTGTGTGTCCTCTATTCAGAGGTTCTGCTGTATATACAAACATCTAGTGGGAGGATCTCACTGACCAGGTTATGGTAGACGTCGGGCCCATCTGCTCCAACGGCTGACTGCTGACCCACCGTATCTAACCACAGAGGGAGTGAGAGGAGTTAAAGTTGTCACACCAGACCAGACTGTTGTACAAGTCGTGCCAAATAGACACATTGGTCTATACTGTCCAAGAAAGAGGTTCTGACTCCACTTCCTACTGTGTGTAGCAACACCAGACATCGCCATTAGTACTTACACATGCACCCACGCAAAACTGAAAGAGTTTCCAGGAGGCCACACTGTTGAAGCATGCACAACAAGACGACGTCGTACCGGTGACTTTCTTGACGTAGTTGCCAGGGAACCACCCGCAGCAGCCGTCCAGGACTCCCTCCCACCATCCTCCATCCACCACTCTCGTGACCTGGATCACGTCTCCCTTCTCAAACTGCAACTAAACCACACACACACACATACAATTCAAACTTCTGAAATGTAAAACAGTATACGCCTCACTACCATTATAATTGTACAGTGGGATACTTTCAAGAGAGAAAAAGCTCGCAAATCGGCCAGGAAACACATATTTTTACACTTGCTGGCTAGGAAACACATATTTTTACACTTGCTGGCTCAACAATATAAAACCAGCTCCTAAAATTTTTCAATTTGAAGGAGTCCCACTATATACAGAGTACACACGTATACTGACCTCATCTTCGTTGGCTCCAGGGAAAGGGTAGATGGCTCTGTAGAAGGCAGGTCCATCTCCCTCCCCGTCCTCCTCCCCTCCCGACAGACTCCCCTGACTACTGGTGTTCCCCGAGGCATCCGTGCTCCCGAGAACTGCGCCACTACTTCGAGACTGTCTCTTGTGACGCGAGAACTCTATCCCGAGACCCATGCCTGAAACAGACAGCAGTATACACCATGTGTTGCACCATGCAAATGTATATAGCAGCCACAGTGTAGCTACCTACCAGCAGCTACTTGGTAGAGCTCTTGCAGGGTGATCAGAACTGGAGAGTAATCTCTTTTGTTCAGCAGATCAGCAGGTCTGAATATCTGCCATAAATACACACCATAATACATACACACATCAAAGCTAACAGCACTGTACTATACGTGGCTCTATAGGGTGGGAGAGAAGACTGGAAAACTCGATGTATCATTCAATGTTTGTAAACACACTCATCTAGTAGGAAGACCTGGCCAGCACACACACCAATGGCTAACTCCACTAGCAATAGCGCTTATCACTGTGACAAGTGCTGTCAACGACCCATTTCCAACTTCTACCCTCCCTTCCCTATCAAAACCCACCACAAGTGGACATTGATGAATGGCTCGCCTTTTTGATGCCAAGGGTGGTGCAGGCCTGCAGGAACCTCAGAATGTTCTCCTCCGCGTCGCCACTCGACCGTCTCTGCTTGATCTGCAGAGAAGACAAACGCGAACCTTGCAGAGCTAGAATGATGATTCAGCGGGGATACGGGCTCACCAGTTCAACGCTGCCGGGTCTGATCTTGTTGACGAGGTGACAGAGGAGAACGCCGTCTCGGAGCTGCTCGGCCACGGCGCCCTCGTCTTCTGCCGGCTCCACCTCTAGACCCAGCGCCTGGAGCCACTCACGAAGATCCGTCAGCGTCACGTCACTCCCGCCTCGCCCGCTGGCCGACATCTCCTTGAGCTCTTGATCTCGGCACTGTAGCTGTGGCCAGTGAATGATGCTCTCGATATAGGCGTGTCTCTAAACTAACCGAGTGGGCGGGGTGCGCTCTAATTAAAATCCGGCAGCACGTGATCTAGGCAGGGCCGAAGATTTTGTCTCTCTCTCTCCTCCTTGCTTCTGTCTTTTCCTGCCTGCGAGGGACAACTACACCACTACAAGCTCCTCTCTACCATACAAACTACGGCAGAGGAGCCCGCCCGACATGGCCACCAGGAGAAAGAAGGAAGAGCAACTTCTCAAGTCTCTCCGCCAGCTCACGGCCCTCTCACACAACAAAAGGTGTCTCGAGTGCCAGGAGCGGGGGCCCACCTACGCCGACATGACCACCCACGGATTCGTCTGCACGTCTTGCAGCGGATATCTGTGAGTCCCGGCTCCCTGAGTGTATTTTTACCGTCGAGATAGCTCATGCAAGAGTACATAACTAGTAGTCACAAGATTTTAACCGAGCATGGGAAGTTGGTTGGTAAGACTTTATATGCACCTTCTTGTATCCTAGTGTACACATAATGACATATAATATGGATGTTCTCTGGTGTTCTTCCTTTACTTATCTTCCTGCCCCCTTTCTTCCTCTTCCTCGCTCTCTCTTCCTCTCTCTCTCTCTCCATCTTCCTCTCTTTCTCCTTCCTCTCGCCTCTCTCCAGGCGTGGGCTGAACCCCCCGCACAGGGTAAAGTCCATCTCCATGACAACGTTTTCGGAAGACGAGCTGACTCTGCTCAAAGATGGCGGAAATGAGGCAAGAACCAACAGCCAGCTTGAAACAAGTGTAGTTCATAGGGAGGTGGCCTTTATTTGGAGTGCCCATCATAAGAGGTTCCACCAACATATTATATATAAATATATATGTTGGTGTGCATCTGGAGTGGGCATTGTATGCACATGTGTACAGCACCGTCTTCCATTGTGTGTCTTACTCGCCCGTTTGCTTATAATTGTTAGGGACATACAATACCAGAATGCTCCATAGGGAATTTACTACACACTCACTACTTTTCTCTCTCCCCTCTGTTTTTCTTTCTCTTTCCCTCTCAGTTGGCACATGCCGTGTGGATGGGGCGATGGAACCCCAGACAAGACAAGGAACCCAGCAAAAAGGACGAAGTGGGCTTCAAGGAGTTCCTCATCTCGAAATACGAGAGGAAGATGTGGTATCGGAGTCTGGCCGAGGTGAAGAGGGAGAGAGAGGGTCAGAACAACCAGAGCAGTACCCCGACCGCTGAAGCCAAAATCCTCCCTCCTCCCTCAACAAAGGTCTGTCGATACAACCACATTATTTCTCACATAGTGGTCTATACTTACTTCTAGAAATTGCACACTGGAAAGACCTCTATACTCATTTTTCTAAATTGCACGCAGTAAACTCCCCACATACACTCTGTGTTTTGTAAATCGTACGTACAGCTATGATGTGCATTTTGTGTGCTACATAAACATACAGAGATCAGCAGGGACCGCGGCCACGTTTGTGGTCCAGCCACCTTCCTCTGCCCCAACTGCTGTGCCCGTGATCTCCGCGACCCCCCAACCAACTCCGTCCACCGTTACTAGCACCGCCAATACCGGATCGACCGGTCAGCAGAAACCGGATTTACTCGGCGGACTAGACGACCCGTTTGGTGAGTGGAAGTTTTTAAAACCAACTCTGCATGATTTTGAGCACTGGTAAGAAAGAAGGGAGAAGACCAGCTTTTGACTGGTAGTTGTAGCTGCACTAGACTTTTCAGTCACGACACCCGAGTTTCGTAAGTTTTTCTCTTTTTTTAGTCATGATAGTCTGTTTCTTGTCTTATTTTTCCGAGGTTATTTGTGGAGTGGTCTGTTTTTTTGTCCAGCTCCAAAACCTCCACCTCCTGGTGCAGTGGCTGTACTACCTCTAGGTGGTGTCCCAATGCTGCTGAGGTCCACTAAAGAAGGTACATATTAGAGCAAGTGACCTTGTTTTAGCTGCTACTTGTATCTATGCAATCTACACTCCAATTAGTAAGTATAGTATTAGTAGCATTGGGAATTCTAATCCCAATAGCATCTGGTGGTATTCGACTGCACCTTATATCTAATGGGTAAATTGAGTGTTGTGTCTTTTTGTAGTCTCATGGGCATAATATCCTCTGTTTGTCAATAGTTCGTATCCAACACACACACACACACACACACACCCACAGTACTCCAGCCAGGTGGAAGTGGCACAGCCAGCACTCCACAGACATCGACTGCTGCCACCGGCATGTCAGCTGCTGACAAATATGCAGCACTCGCTTCACTGGACGTGACACTGAAGGGGTTGCGTGTGAAAGACGAACCGCCAGCTCAACCCTCTCCTCCAACTGCTCATCGCGGAGCCTTCGGAGGGGGAGGAGGAAGTAATCCATTTGGAGCCCCCCAACAGCAGCCGCAGCAATCAACGGGTCCGGCACAGTTTAACCCCTTTGCTACGCCACCAAGTCAGCCAGTGACTGGCGGGTTAAGACCAGGTGGTGCGGGGTATGGCGGATTTCAAGGCCAGCAATTCCAACCTGCGCAACAGTTTGGTGGGTATGGTGGGCCTCAGCAGATGGGGCAGGCCCAGATTCAGATGCAGATGGCCAATCCGCAGATGGGACAGGTGGGTGGGGGCCAGTGGCAACAGCAACCGCAGCCAATGCAGGGGGCGCAATGGGGACTTCATCAGCAGTCATTTCAACAGGGGCAGATGGGCCAGTGGGTTCAGCAGCACCCTCATCAGCAGCACCCTCATCAGCAGCAGGCTGCCATGCAACAGCAGTGGAGACTGGCCGGCGGACAACAACCACAGGTGTTTGGTTCCGTTCCAATGGGTAGCGGGCCTGTTCCAGGTGGAATGAACCCTGGGACTGCTGGTGGTGGCTTCCCACAACAACAACAACAGCAACAACAACAACAACAACAACAGGCTCAGATGATGGCAATGCAACAGTCACAGTTTGGGGGGTTCGTATCTGCAGCTGGTGGTGGGGGAGTCAGACCTCAGATGATGGCTCCACAGTCGCAACAACAACAACAACAACAACAAGCTAAGCCGTTTGGCAGTGGTGGGGGAGGAGGGGGCTTTAATTGGGGTACGAGCACTGTCTCGTCTTCTCAGCAACCGACGTCGTCTTCGTCTGGAGCTGTGCAGACGAGTGCAGGGTCTGGTGTTGGGATGGGATGGAGTAATCAGCTTTCAAAACAAGCTCCACCTTCTAGTGGGTGGGGTGGAGGGTCTGGGGTTACTCCAGCAAGTTCTTCCTCTGGGGGAGGGGGGTGGAGTACCTCACTCCAGACTACTTCGATGTCTGGCGGGGGAGGATGGGGAGGGGGAGGAGGGAATGTGGGTGGGGGAGGATGGGTAGGAGGTGGGAGTGTGGGTGGGGGAGGATGGGGAGGCAGTGCTCAGCAGCAGCAGCAGCCTCAACAACAGCAACAACAAGCAAACTGGGGGAGCAATGGGAAACCAGCCTTCAAATCCTTTTATGGTATGAAATTTACTAAACCAGTTTTCATTATGTGGTTTATACCACGTATTTTTTTTCTTCCACAAATGCATGCACATTTTCACAGCAGTCGACTCCGCAAACGCATAAAAATCCATTTCTCTGAAGGTGAACTCCTGTGCATAGTCCTAAGATGTAGCCCAGGAAATTATATATAGGGTTTTTTTGTATTCTAGATTGTGCAACATAACTTGTTGTGTATAATTATTGCACGGCTGTCTGTACTTGAATTTATACACCAAACCAAGGTGTCCGCTCTTTACGCATAATGATGCGCAGCTAGTTGCAATATCGGGCTCCAGTGCGCATCCGCGATTTAATTAAGTGACGAGGGGGAAAATGGCGGATCTGAGGGACGAACGAGTGCTGCGGATGACCTACCTCAACATGCTCTTCGACTGGGACGGATCGGACGCCACGAAAGTCCACGAACCGTTGAGCCACCAGCTGGGCTACCTGTTTGTCGCTTTCCTGGTTCTGGTGGGCGCGTTCGTGGTGTGGCGCGTCTGGAACAGGCGGAGGAAGGCCAAGAAGGCGCGCCCGCTCCCCTACCGCGTCGTGAAACCTCCGTCCAGCCTCGCCGGCGACAGCAGGGACCCCGGTAAAAGAGTCGTGGCCGTCGTCGGTGGCACCGGCTTCGTTGGGTCGTGGATCGTAGACGAGCTCGTTCGTCGTAGCGACTGTTACGTGTACGTATTGGGGAGGACGTTTCGCCCCGAGCGGACCAACCCAGAGGCGGACGCGCTCATCCAGGTGGACTTGGAGGACGACGAGGGTCTGGAGAGGGCGTTCAACGGCGTGGATTCCGTCATAGACGCGGCCGCAGTCTTGCCTAACGCGTTCTCCAACGCGGCGGACGTGTGGCGTGTCAACAAACAGTGCCTCGAGCACTTGGTGAAGGCCGCGCAGAGAGCCGGAGTGAAAAACTTTGCCTTTCTGTGCGGGATGCATTTGGAAGGGAGGCCTCGAGACCCCGTCGCACGAGCGTTTGTGAACGCCTTTGCCTGGGGGGAGGAATTTGTTAGTTCGGCCAACAGAAATAACGGAATGAGGACATGTGTCGTGTCTCCAGCTCAGATTGTGGGTCTAAGACAGGCTTTCTACGAGCAGATGTTATCGGGGAAAATGACCTCTTTCCCCAAAGCGAAACACCGAGCTTCGTTCTTACCGGTGGAGTATGTTGCCCGTGCCATTGCAAATGCCGAACGAAAACTTTCTGCAGGTTCTGATAAAGTATGTGGAAAAATCCTCCCCCTTGTTGGCGACGTAATGACAATGGAAAAATTCACATCGTTGCCTGCCTGGCCGCACGAAATCAAAGATATGTCTCTCCGTTTTCTCGAGATGCTGGCACGGTTCAATAGCTTCTGTGCTAAGTGGTTTGGTAGACCTCCATTTGGTCGAGAGCTTTGCCCTGCAATTGTGACTTTCTTTGACAATGCCGAGGAAGACGTTGATTGCAGTGAAACGTATGAGGCACTTGAGGTGGGGCCCCCTCCCCCAATTAACGATTACCTGGTCAAGATGGTTGAAGAGTATCAGAAGAAGATAAAATAATGGTGTCGAGCAGAAGAACAAATGACAGTGTGTGCATAATGGCTGTGTTATAGCAGTAGTTGTTGATTTTTACTTGGTGTCTGAATTTTACGGATAGCAAACTTTCTCAAGTAGTACATATATATACAAATTGTATATAGCAATGTGTGTGTGTTTGCATGTTGTGAAAGGTTTATGCTTGTGGAGGTGAAGCTGTGGATGAAAACATAGGTGGGACAGATGGAGCCTCCTTGCGACACAGTTTGCCGCACATTGAAGGAGAGAGGAGAAAAATGAAGAAGATTGACGGGTAGAGAGCAAATGCAAGGTAGATGGAGGTCTGTGCATAGCTGTCTCTCTCTATTGCCCCAAAACCATCTCTGGAGCACGTCATCCCTGGATCTCCAAAACTTTCACAGATAAAGTAGTTCTGAAGAGATTGGACATGACTTCCGACATGACCGAGTGTTATATTGGCCGAGAGATTCGAGTGAAGGGCCACGCACATGTAGGTGATGATAAGAATGACGATCTTCACTTCTGCAGATTTCAGTTTGGCATCTCTTGGATAAGGTTTTCTTTGCAAACGAGCCCTCTATAATATGCAACACAAACATAATGTAAGAGTTGGATTATAGGTTACCAAATCTTACCAAATTTCCGATGTACCACATAGTTGATACGAGGAAAGATATGCCGCAGATGATTATTAACACAAACGGAACTGAAAAACTGTAGAAATACAGATCCATATCTTGTGGGATACACTTGGATGCGAAATGGCTCTTAATGAAACCATCTCCTTGGCATATTGCAATTACAGGAACAGCCGGTAGAGATAGGCTGACAATGACAGACACCAAATGAATGTTTCTGAGTTTTCCAGAAGTTTTGAAAGAACGGAAGTTAACTGGATAGATGACCACCCAGAAATAGACTGCCGTCTGGAACAACCAGAACAGAGATATCACCAGAACGGCGTACAGAAACAGTGCCCCTGGAAAGAATAGCACATAGCGCAATAGCAGATGTAAGTGTAAAATAGTAGATTATAGCTAAGCGTTACCTTGAAACTTGCAGAGTATAGTGGCATGGTCACCTCCTTGTAGATTGTCCAGAAGGTCTTCAGAGGTGCAGAGCAGAGAGTTGAAAGGTAGAAAACTGATGAAGTCCAGAAGTGATACCACTAGAACAGTCAGTGTCGAGTAGATGATCAACACTGATGGAAAAGTAAAACTAGGACCGAAAAAGATTATTTTAAGGTCGTTCATCAGGCATTGGGATTTCCTTACATTTGCTTGTGTTGGATGAAAGAAAGAACTAGTACTGTAGTGCATATGATGACACTGGCCACATTTGCAATGATCAACAGGACAGATAAGGCAGTGTGTACATCAGGAGAGAGAGGACTCCATTTTCCACATATTGGCTTGCAGAGCAGCGAGTTCTCGTCATAGTAGAAACCATCACTGCACGACACATTAAACTCTTGCTTGTCTCTCACTGTACTCACGTTTCCTTAAAAGAGTAGAGTAGATGAAACAGATGTAAACTGGAGTATATATAAACTTACTGCATGGTGGAGGCTGGCCAATCCTGAAATTGTTGCAGTTCTGGACGATGACAGAGAACTCTGGCACGGTGGCAGCAAACTGGATGAGATCCAAGCAAGTCTCAGTTTGAAGAGAGTCACATAGCTCAAATGAAGGCAGTCTCGTCTGCCCACTCCCGTCACACACTCCAAAGAGCAAGAGACACCAAAACTCTCTAAACTCTCTCTCGCAGTCTTGTGAAGGTCTCACGAGTTGGAGCCCGGCAAACAGCATGGTGGCCTGGTATTCCGCCAGTTCTTGGTCGGTGGAGGCAGGGATCAGGACCTCAGCTGAGGTGTTTCCTCTCTCAGGCAGACAGCTCTGCCAGTCACCGAGTTCTCTGAGACACATGGTGCCAGTGTATGGAGACGGAGAACAAGCCAGTGGATCTGTGCCCTACAGACATTGAAATTTAGAGTTTGCATACACCTCCATATGGAGTATATTGAATGTATTGTACACTTTAGCCAAAAAAGAGAGGCTAATCATAATAATTCTAAAGGCCATTGCAGGATTCACTGGGTGTGCGTCTCAACGTTTGGCTCTAGCAATGCACACAATCTATTGTTGACCAGCCAATGTCACCTGCCGCAGTTTAAACAGTGCTAATTCCTTCAATGGACCATGTTAATTCCTAACACCGAATCTATCACATAGCCACAGAAACAAAATTGGTAGCTACAATGATTATAGGTTATACTATATACCGGATTTGCGATCGTATTTTTCATGCAAGTTGGCCAAAGGGTCTTGCTTGCGGCCAATTTGTATACTCCCCGGAAAGCGTATAGTTATACTGAACTCATGCAATTGATGAACTTTATTTTCTTACTGTGAGAGGGAAGCGATCGCGGAGAAAGTACGGGAGGAGAACGAGGGAGACTGCGACGGAGACGCTAAGGATGATGGTCATCAGAAGACAGAAAGACCAGTGCGGACAGCGAGAGGGGCGGCAAGTAGTTTCTACAGCGACAGCTTCCGGACTAGCCATTGATCTTCTTCTTGCAGTGCAAGGGCCTGGAGTTCTGCGAATAGTGCGAAATGCGCTACATCTGCGCATGCGTGCCGAGCTCGAAAAAATGGCGCGTAGAGGTGCGTTGATAGTGTTCGAGGGTTGTGACAGAGTCGGCAAGTCCACGCAGTGCCAGAGACTTGTGGAAGCTCTGAAGACGTCCGGAAGGCAGGCCGAGAGCCTTAGCTTCCCCAGTAAGTTCACTTGTTTTTGTTGTTAGAGAATGTTCCCACGCGTTGTTGCGCGCAGACCGAGATACGGCCATCGGAAAGCTGATCAATAATTATCTAAACAAGAAAATCGAACTGGAGAACCACTCTATTCATCTTCTGTTCGCCGCCAATAGATGGGAGATGGTGTAGGTTTGCTGTAGGCAAGGGCGGGGTCTCTATACCTTTTGCGCATGCGCATTATCCTGCCCGCGCTACAGCCCACAGATGGAAAAGTTACTAAAGTCTGGGACATCACTTATAGTGGACAGATACGCCTTCTCTGGAGTTGCCTACACTGCAGCAAAAAAGGTTAAAAAGCTCCAGTAATTTGAATTTAGTTTTATGTAGCAACTTTGTTTTTTCCCCATCTGACAGACTGCTGAGGTTGACTGGTGCAAGTGGCCAGATATTGGTCTCCCAACCCCAGATGTTGTGTTCTATCTCTCGCTCTCACCAGAGGCTGCCCAGCAGAGGAGCATGTACGGCAACGAGCGATACGAAAAGGCCGAGTTCCAAGCGGAAGTCGAGCGGCAGTTCCAAGCGATGAAAGACGAAAGTTGGGAGACGATTGACGCTTCTAGATCAGTGGACAGTATACACAGAGAGGTTCTGGAAACTTCTCTCAGAGCTATCGAGGAGAACTCTCATAAAGACATTCTGCCTCTTTGGAAGAGAGAAAAACTAACGCTCTGACACGGATGATCCAATTCTGTGCTGCAAGCTGGTCTCAGATTAAATTTTTTTGATGATCTATATAAATTTCATTGTGGTGCACGACATGGTCGTAAGCACGTTTGCGATCATACGTTGTATGTACAGTACATGTATTGATCTGAGTATACTATGAATTATGATGCAGGATGAATGAAGGTAGCACTGAGGAGGTTTAGGAGGAACCGAGACTGCATGTAGTTGGGGAAGCACGTGGTGTCAGCGAGCATGCTGTCCGGAGGGAGAGAGGGGTTAACCGGGTCAACCTGGAGCGGTTGGTAGGTAAACTCCCCACTTTTGGAGTCCAGTGTTAGGGTGAACATATGACCTGCACAAGAAGAAAAGTTGTATGCTTTAGACTCATCTAGGACACCATATGTATATACACTGAAATAGAGTGGAACACAAGTATATATACGCCTTTATTCAGAGGATACATTGTATATTTCACAGCTTCCACTCTGAGTGTCTGTCAGGAGATATGGACCACTGGGCAACTCATATACATGAATTAATTGTTGCCACGGGTCTCTTATGTAGGCATGGATTGTATTACCCAATACAATCTATGATGTACAGAGATGTGCTGTATGTATAATATATACCGGCAAGCGATCCATCTGAGACTTTACAGTGGAAGATGGTGGAGTCTGAGCCCTTCACACACTGACTGATTGACAGACCCGACAACCCACTCAGGAACTCTAAAACAATGCTGCTGGTCACGTGACCGTCACCTGACATGTACGTGCTGTCTGCTGCAATAGGCTACAGAAAAATTCAAGGTCTGACAATATTAGAATAGTTTCTGCTCACCAGCTCAGGTTCAGTTTTGGCTAGCTTTTTTCTCTCTGCATACACTTTCAGTTTTTCCTGATCCTCGGCTAACTGAGACTGCGCGCAGGTGAGCTCTTCTCGAAGGACTGCAATCTCGTTCCTGCCCTTCTCTTGGAGCTCGTTATTGACCGCCTCCAGCTCGTTCTTGACCGCCTCCAGCTCGCTCTTGACCGCCTCCAGCTCATTCTTGACCGCCTCCAGCTCGCTCTCGCTCTCGCGGAATCTCTCCTGTAGCCCCGTGCAGTAGGCACTGCTGGCTGTGAGAGGTTTGATCATCGAAGGACAGTGAGCAAATGCATAGACACATTGACGCTTATAAAGGTGGGCGAGGAAGAGAAAATTATTCTCACCTTCTGCATTTTTCTCGGCTCTGCTTTGCGCGGCGAGTACCTCTGTGTTCAGATCGCTCAGGACGTTGCGCAGCAAGGACTCGTACTTCGCCTGGTAGTCCATAATGATAGCAAAACTAGAGAACCCGGCCGCGTATAGATCGATCTTCCAGGTTTTTGAAGGTGTTTTATATGCGCATGCGCAAATCTCCGTGTGAGCTTCACGTGCGTAGCAACTGACTGTCACGTGACCCTTTAAGTTAGTCGCAGCGCTGCTTTTTCGTTGGCTGATGGCTCAGGACGGCGGCCTGGACATAGACGAAGATCTGTTCGTAGACGCTCTCCCAGACTATCTAAAGTGTCCGATCTGCCTGTGTGTCCTCCAGTCGCCGTTCCAGACTCCGTGCGGACACCGTTTCTGCAGAGACTGCATACAACCCGTCCTCAAGACCCGAAATAACGTCTGCCCGAAAGATCGCACCGTCATAGACGCTACCAACACGTTTCCCGACAATGCGGCGAGGCTCCAGATAAACTCTCTGAGGATCAAGTGTCCGAAACACGCGTCCGGATGCGTGTGGGTGGGCGAGTTATCGGACGAGGCCGGACACGAGCAGTCGTGCGAATATTTCCACGTCCTGTGCAAGCTCTGCGGTGATCTTTTCCCGAGAGTCGGACTCTCGTCTCACGAGCCGACGTGTCCTAAACGCCAGCTACCTTGCGAGTATTGCGGGCTGGAGTTCCGTCTCTCCGACCTTTCCCCGCACTACACGACGTGCCCCGAGTACCCCGTCCCTTGCCGCAACAAGTGTCCCGCGGGAAAAGTCCCACGCAAAGACGAGGAATCCCACTACACCAACGAGTGCTCGAAGGAACTCGTCGAATGCAAGTTGGCTGCGTTCGGATGCTCCGAACGAGTTCCGCGAAGCGAAATGGGTGATCACCTGGTCACGTGCGCCCCACAACGAACCCTAAGCCTCGCAAATACCGTCCTGAAGCTGCAAAAGGACGTCCAGGAGCTCTCTCTGGCATTTGCACAGCAGAAGGAGCAGCAGAAGACAGTAACCAACACCCTCTACCCCTGTGTCGGACAGTTCACCTGGAAACTGGAAGACGTTCGGCTCAAAGTGAAGCAAGCACAAGCCAGGGAGTCCCCCGAGCCAGTCATGATATACAGCCCTCCTTTCTTCTCCCACGAAGGCGGCTACAAGATGTGCCTCTGTGTGTACCCTGCAGGAGACAGTAATCTAGATTGCCTCTCTGTTTACTTTGTCATCATGAAGGGGCCCTACGACAAAATCCTCCCGTGGCCGTTTCAGAAAGCGATTAGGATCACTCTCCTTAGCTGCCGAGAAGGTCCGGGGATTGTCAAGGACATAAATCCGGACCCCAAGTTGCACTATTTCCACCGACCGGAGAAACCAAAGAACGTCGGTTACGGCTACCCCAAATTTATATCCCTCCAGAAACTTCTGTCTGATCACTCCGAGTATTTGGACGGCGATTCCGTGTTCATCCGCTGCGAAATTTTTCATTCTTAGCATATTTTTGGTTTTGTAGAGCATTTTTTTGTTTGCCCCATCCCCGAGCCCCACCCACATTTTTATGCGCGTACGGCTGCGCAGCAGACGACGGTAGCTAGCTAGCGAGCTAGAGAGCTGCAAATGCAACGAAGTGTCACGCTAACTAGCCTCCGCAGCCACACGGCCGTCGCGTCGGGATATCTGCACAAGCTGGCGCACAACGGGACGCCGTTCGCCTGTTGGCACCAGCGATACTACGTTCTCTACAGCGACGGTCTCCTACGCAGCTTCAAGAGCTCGCGCGCCAGAAACAGTCACCGCGTCATCCACGTCGGTCGCAAGTGTCTTCGCGTCCGATTCGGAGCCGATACGAGGAGCGACGAGTGCAGTCACTGGCCGAAAAACTGTCCGCGTGCACTCTGTTTCTCTGTCATCAACATTGACCGGGAGTACCACTTCTATTGCGAGTCGGAGCGAGAGTTTGCAGTTTGGCGCGACAGTCTCCAGCAAACCCTCGCGAAACTGGGTTCGGCTCACTCGAGCTACGTCGAGAGACGCAGCAGCAAGCCGTATCCCGTCGACGACGATGACGATCTGTCCGTCGCGCCCACTCCAGACTCACCGAGAAATATAGAGCAACGAACTGCGGCCGAGAAGAAGAGAGCGAGAGAAGACAGAGCGCAGAAGAGGACAAGACAAAAGGAAACGGGTGTAGGTGATGCATACGATGCGGTAGATCCCGCAGTTTCTTACCGACGCTTAGACGAACACAAGAAAGAACAAATAACTGCGCCACAGTCATACAAAGTTGGGTCAAAAGATGATGATTATTGGGAAGATGTCGTAAGTGCGAAAGAGGCCAAGGAAGAAGAAAGTCTTGAGCAAGTCGGCGATCATGAGGAAACGTGTTGGTCCACCTCTAACTATACACATAATGTGCAGAGTGAAGAGATCAAGGAAAGAAAGGTTTCTGGAAGAAAAAACACTAGCAACTACCACAGCACTAATGGGATTGAAGCTGCATTTTTAGAAGTTCAGGCTATCATTGATAAAACCTTTAATGATATGTGTTGATCCATTCTCATTCATTTACTATGTCGTCATTGCCTGCAGACCTGTTATAAAACAATTCACGATAATAAATTTCATTAACCAAAATTAGTTTAGACTTCCTGTCTACCGTGACCAACAATAAATACAATTTCAGAGTTAAAATTCGTTATTCTGTTGAAAACTCACTGTGAAGAAATGTCTCAATCTGTGGCCACAAGACGTCTGATTCCGTACCAGTAAAAGAACGTAGGAGATTCAGTTTCTCGTAGTAGTCCAGTACAGGCCTCGTCTGTGAGTTGTAGTGTTGGAGTCTCTCTCTCACAGTGTCTGGATGATCATCAGGTCTTTGAATCAGCTCCTCCCCCGTGTGGTCGTCCAAACGAGCCACTTTCGGAGGGTTATACTCGTCGTGATACACACGACCGCTGGGGAGGTGAACCCGGCGCCCTTTAATCCTGTCGATGATCGTGGAATCCGGAACATCCAGATTGATAACAGTGTCAACTCCAACGTTTTCAGACAGGGCTTTGGCTTGAGGGAGCGTGCGAGGAAATCCATCCAAGAGCCACCGTAGCTCAGACCCAGAGATGGAGTCCAGGATGAGAGAGACCATGGTTTGGTCTGGGACCAGGAGACCCTCCGAGGTGTACCGCTTGGCCTCTCGGCCTATGTGGGTGCCTTGGGAGATGTGTGTACGGAGGAGGTCGCCGCTCGAGAGGTGAGGCAGCTTGAATGCCGATGCAATTCTTGATGATATCGTTCCTTTCCCTGCCCCTGGTGGGCCCATGATAATGACTCGAAGAACTCTGCTTGTCATGGTATGATTTGATAGCTCCTCAGATGTTCTAAAGGTCGAAGTGCGTTGGGTTCTAAAATAACGAAGGACTTCGATGTTACTTTCTGTGACACACTCGTGCGCATGCGCGAGGACGCGACGCTGTTTGCTAGCTGGACCAACATCACCGACTCTATCTTCTTCTTTCCCACTGACCAAGTGAAAGATCTGGCACCAGGAGATGGCGTTTATGGAAAGACTGAGGGAAGGAACTCTCGCAGACGCCATTGAAAAGTTCAACGAACAATTAAACCTACGTGTACCTAGCTAAATAGCTCCTCCGCCGCAGGTTTGCGCTCCAGAACCAGCAGCAGAGCGCTGCGGCAGCGGCCGACGGGGAGGAAGGTTGGGACCACATGGCTCTGGCCCCCGGCCACTCTCTCAGGGATTTTCTCCACGACGATCCCCGACTCACTCCGCCGCCAGCTCTCCCCTCGCCTCCACGTGTACAGGTTCACACTGGAGAGACGTACGGACCGCCCAACAGGCCTCTGGAGGAGCAAACGCTCTGTGACCGAAAGGGTGAGTAAACCCGTTGAACTATAGAGTTGTGTAGGTTCACTCGTTCCCCTCTCTCTTGTGAAGTACCTGGGTCGGCGCCCGGAGTCTGTGGTCTCCTGAACATGGGAAACACTTGCTACATGAACGCTGGTCTACAGTGCATTCGCAGTATCCCGGAAATCGCCCTCCACTACCTCAGTTAGTCCGGTCCCCCCTCACAATCCTCAATGTTTGTTGGTGTATGCATATTGCAGATTCCGATGACAAACAATCAACAGACTCAGAAAAGGTTTGTCTAAATGGTGAAAGAGTCTCTCCTCCCCTTTAATTTCTTACCCTCCATTTCCTCAGGGTGCCCTAAGCTCTCGACTGGCTACTCTCCTGCACAAGTTATGGAGTGGTCTATTTTCAGCTGTTCATCCGCAGGCGTTCAAGATAACACTCGGACTGCTCCACCCACAGTTCAACGGAAACAGACAGGTGTGTGTTATAAAGCTGCACACGACATCATCGCCGCCATTCGATTTGTATGTGTTGTTTATCCGATGACGTCGTTCTCTCAGCAAGACTGTCAGGAGTTCCTGGCAATGCTGCTGGACACACTTCACGAAGATTGCGTCCTCCAATCAAACGACGGATTGATGACTGAATTGAGTGAGCCGTCGCACAATCAGCCCATTTCAACCAGAGACGATACAAGGAAAGACAGCAATACTGAACACGGGTCAGTAATCACTCAAACTTTTCGTGGGATGCTAAAAAACGAGGCAAGTTCTCTAAAAAAAACAGTGGTCCCTTAAATCTACGTTCTTGTGTGTGTATGTGTGTGTGTGTATACAGGTGGTGTGTCAGAAATGTGGTCACAAGTCAACTAAAGAAGAACCGTTTTTCTATCTTTCAGTTCCGCTTCCTCATGCCTTCGACAGACAAATTTGTGAGCTTTTCTCTTCGAGTTTGTGTGTTACTTCCCTCCCCCCTCCTTCCGTCCTCCCTCCTCCCTCCCTCCCCCCTCCCTCCCCCTCTCTTTCTCAATCACATACATAGATGTGCAGTGGATGCCACTTTGCCTTCAGTCTGGTACCAGAAAGTCTGTGAGGTGTGTCGTGATGATGCTCTGTGATGCTGTATGACTCATTATGATGTCATCACAGGCTTTTGGTGACAGTTTCAAAGGTCGCGACTATTGCAGTGTTCAAAAAGGCTCTCGTCGATTTGATTGGTCGGCCCCTGTCAAATGACCTCGTTCAAATAGCTGAGATCAAAGAAAACACTATTATAAGAGTTTTGGTAAGTGTTTGATATTTGTGATATCATGTGATTGCTGATATTGCATTAGGCTGATAGTGTGGCTATAAAACAAATGGACGACGATAAATGTGAGATTTTCGCATTCGAGCTCTCTCCACTACCGAACACGCCTGACAGCCAAATGGAACCAGAGAAGAAGAGAGGGGAGAAGGAGAAGAGGGAGGGAGAGGGGGAGATAAAAAGTGAAGGAGAGATGGACCAAGGGACAGATGGTAGCTGTGTGTCTGGGCGCAAGCACAGCAAGGAGAGCGACTCGGACGCTGAAGGACTCCCGACAAAACTCTTCAAAAGCGAGGAACAGTCCTCATTGCAAGAGGGGATTTCTCCCCCTGCCCCTCTCGTTAACGCCCCTAACGAACCCGCATCTACCCTCATGACCGATGGTGAAATCGACCGCCAAACCTACAAGAAAGAGGACGTCCCTGTAATCAGCAAGGCCGTTGTGATGGAGTGGCATTCGTGTGCCATCTGCCTGGAGGAAATGATAGACAGTGATCTGGTGACGCACGCTACATGTGGAGCTGTTCTTTGTCCGTCTTGTCTCCAGTCGTCCGTAGACCACTACCAAAAGGAAGATGGTCTGGTGCCTTGCCCTGTGAGTAAATACTGATTAGCTATTGTAAGAGGGATTGTGCAAGATTGTGCAACGAATCCGACCAGAAACAGAATGAACTTCTTGTGTGCTGTACATAATTATGCTAAACACTACTTTTCGTAAAATGATTTCGCGGAGAGAGAAGGTTGTGCAAAAGTAATGCTGTGGTGGTTTTTTCTACAGATTTGTTCGGCTGTTGTGAAGTCGTCTGAGGCGTTTACTCCACTGGCTCAACAGTCAGAGTCAAGCAATCTGATCAAGTAAGCCCCTTATCTCTCTCGTTTGCCCCACTCCCTCCCTTTCTTTTTTCCCTATCTCGCTTAGTATTTTCATCATATCTCGCCTCGGCTTTCCCCCTTTCTCGCTCCGATCTTTCCTCTTTCGCCCCATCTCGCTCCAAACTTGAATAATGTATCCTCAAAACGCAGACTCCTCCAGACCACGGTGCTGTTCCGGAGCCTCTCCTCGGAAGACGGTCTCCCTCAGTGTGTGTCTCCTCCAGCTGTCTTCCGGCTCCCCGAGTCCCTCTCTGGTCTGGAGTACCACCGCCTCCTCTCTCCCCTCCTCCCTCCCTCTCTGGCCTCCTCCTCCGACAACTGGAACCTCTCTCTCACTGACTCCAAGGTCATCCCACAAACTTCAGAACATTAGTGGAGTGGAACCCCCCTAATCCGGGCACTAATGGGACAGAAGAAAGTGTCCGTGTGAGGTGGCCTCATTTCAGGGGTTAAATTGCATGCAAGAACAGTTCTTCGGGAAAGAAACGGTGTCCTCACTTCAGGGATATCTTTAGAGAGGATACCACTGTACATCTTATTGCTAGGCCTAACATTCTAGAATTTAGATAAAGTGTAATTCTTAAATGGTCCCTCTCAATTTAATTCCAGGGTAGATTCTGCTCTCGGTGTATGTATGGTTCGGGCTGCCGTGGGTGTGTCATCTCACGTGATGCGTCCAGCCATTCCCTGAGGCCAGGGGACTTTCTGACCATTACTCTGGTGATGGGTGAGACGGGGGAGATTTGTGAGGAGGTGGGGGGACACCCTTCGTTGGCCACCAAACGGGACTCCATTCTCTCTTTGGAGGAGTGTCTCTCTGTCTTCTCTCAGAGGTCAGGGGGTTAAAGAATAAGACAGTTACTTACTCTCTTACTTGATTACACATACATATTTATTGTATAAGACCATGTACCCGAATGCATTCCTGCACGAGGGCCTTATAATTCGCACTAATACTTCGAGCTCTTACTTAGATTGTAGTACTTCTGTTTCCCCAGGGAGGAGTTGGTAGGGGACAACATCTGGCTCTGTCCCTCGTGCAACGATTTCCAGCCGGCCACTCGTGTCCTCTCTGTCAGCTCTCTCCCTCAGACCCTCATCATCCACCTCAAGAGGCACGAAAAAGAACCTTAGGCTGTGCATCTCACTCACTCGTGCTGCAAAAGATGCATGTTCTTGTGTGTTTGTCAGAGTGTTGCTCTTTTCTTCCTTCCACGTGTATGTGCACAGTCTGTTGTTCGTGATGACAGTTCATTTCCCGCTCTGCCTGCTCCCGATAGGTTTGTGTATCACGGGACGGCTGGAAGTAAAGTAGACGCTCCAGTCACCTTCCCCCTAGAGTTGGACCCTCGTCTGGTGTCACGTGACTGTCATGTGACCGAGTCTCTCGCACTGGCTGCTTGCGTGTGCCACTTTGGATGTAAGTGGGAATGCATTACTCGACGCAGTTGTGTAGTGTGAATCGATTATAGTCTGTTGCTCTTCCTCTCATCTCTCGCAGCCCTTAATTGTGGTCACTATACAGCCTACGTGAAGCACATGGTAACTGAAGAGTGGACGTACTGCAATGACGAAACTGTCACCACGGTGAGTTAATTATGCCTCGCTAATTAAAGGGGCTTACCCGTTGTTATACTTTCTCCGCACAGAGCACACCTTCAGACAAAGATTCCGAAAGTGTGTACATACTGTTCTATAGAAGAAGAGGTATGCATCGTATGTATTATAGTGGGGGGGGGGGGAATTTATTGGCAACCAGCAAAAATTTCCACCACAATTCTGACTAATTGAGCTAGCTTTATTGTCACACCCTCACAGATCTACCCCCTGCCCCCACACTCCCACCTGTCACCATGTCCTTCAACGATGCCGCCGAAATGTCGAGTTTGACTCGGTTGCTACGGCAACACAAGCCACGCCCCTCTGACACCCAACCGGTGCCGCCTCGTACAAAGCGATCCAACAGTGACGGTAAGGGTATGAACATCAAATTCACAGCAAGTTTCAGTGTGTCCTTTCTGATAATGTGCTCCAATCCGTTCTATTGTCATGTGATTCCCTGCTGTTTGTCAGGTGACTTGAGGACCTCCTCCTCGATGGCTACGGAGACCATCACCTCTGAGACTAACCAGCTCCTGGCATCGCTGGGTATCAACCCAGCCTCTGCCACCATTGCTACCACTTCCTCCATTGTCCAGGTCTCCTATATACCGCACTATTATACCTCACATGAACACAGTTTTACACTGCTACATAACCAACTCTTTGTCAAAGCCCTCTCATTAGATTCCTTCCCTCTCTCAGGCACAAGCAGCTCCCCGATCTCCCCCTCCTCCCATAACTCCCACCTCCCTCCTCACACCCCCTCCCTCCAACTCGTCCTCCACCTCGCAAGCCACGCCCATCCTCGACGACTTTATGAACTACGACTTCTCCGACCAAGACTGTTTCCCCTGTGCAGAGCACATCGTTTCGACACCATCAGTCGACAGACGTAGGGCCAGTGTGCCTGAAACTGAAAGAGCAAAAGAGTGGTGATTTTGAGTGGTTCGTAATTTGTGTGGTGAATTTTTATTGTGCAGTTTTGTTAAGAAAACACGACACTTCAGAATAATGGATTTATACACAAAGTCACAAAGTAGACATGTGTTAAATTGACACAGAAAGTACATTAAATAATGTTAGTGTATGTGCACTATGATAAAGTGAGGTTAGTCGATGAACCATGTTGGTGATGTCATTGGAAAGAGCAAGAGTAGAAAGGTCACCAGTCCGAGTACATAGAAGCCGAGAATGGTATAGGGACGAGAGTGGGATGGAATGGAGGCGAGAGGAGGAAGACCGAGAACGTTGCAGTAGGTGTGGGCCAAAACCGGACTGACGAGGTGACCCGACCGGACAAACAAGAATGCCGAGAATGCCCCAAACACTGACGTGTACCCGGCTTGCACCAGCAGCCCTATCAGCACATTAGTGAAGGTGCCCTCCCCATTTAGAGCCCACTCTACGATATGGTGTAGGTGGGCGAGTCCAAAAAATAGTGGGCAGAGAAGAATAGTCCACAGCTCTCCGAGGGAAGGAGTGAGGAGTGGCACTAGACATGCGCGGAACACAAACTCCTCTGCAAACGGCGCCACGACGTAATTGCGTAACTCGATATCCCTCCTCTCCCCGCCGAAGAGTTCGGAGAACGGGTTCTCTTTCAAGGTGGCATAGTGTATGAGCGGACCGAGGTAGGCGAGGGAAACGAGGAGGAGAGGAGAGACAATGGCCCACCGAATTCCATCCAGTTTTATGCCCAGGATTCTCAATAGGGGCTCCGCGTCGTCGTCATCGGCCGAGGACCACGCCCACAAGTACGCAGGAGCGACAGAGCAGACGCAGACGATGGCAAGAATGCGTCTGCGGACTGTGACGGGGTGGTTGCGAGGCAGACCGGCACTCACGGCGTAGAGACTCAAGACGAAGAGACTGGCCAGCCCCAAGCATGCACTCAAAACGCTGGAACCACTCAAACCGCGGAAAGACACACGCGGCATTTTCAGGGGCCGGGCCGGGGGGGGGCGGGGCGGGGGGGTTAAGCATCACGCGATGCCGTTCGCGATCGAAAATAGAAAATGGCCGAGTCGGAAGTTCTGTCGCGAATCGACGGAGAAACACTGGAAAAGGCTCGGAGAGAGCTCAGAGAAGATCCCGACAAGCGAGCGGAGGCCGTGGAGGAGTTGCGCACCAAAATAGCGGAAGCGAAGAACGATCCTGAGCACGGAGTCGTCGAATTTTCCCGCGACGATGGACCGTTTCTCCTGCGCTTTCTACGGGCTCGGAAATTCGACGTGGACCGCGCCACGCTACTCTACTGCAACTACTACAAGTTCCGTCACAAGTATGCCGACCTACTGGGAGATATGCACCCGCGAGTCGTGGATCACGTGCTCCGGAGTGGACTAATGGGCGTGACCGACCTCCGCCGTCGAGACTGGTCCGTGGCAATCCAACTCTGTCCGGCAAGATGGGATTCGGACACTGTCCCCTTCACGGACAACTTCAAAACGATGATACTCCTTTTGGAAAAGTTGATAGAAGATGAAGAAAACCAAGTTCATGGTATCACCATCCTCAACAACCTACTAGATGTCTCTTTCTCGACCATCGTCAAACTCTCTCAGGCTGAGCAAACGAGGAAAGGTGTCTTCCTAGAGCTGTTCCAAGACAGTTTCCCGGGGAGATTCAAGGGTATGCATCTGGTTAACCAGCCATGGTACGTCAGCCTTGTGCTCGGAATAATCCGGCCGTTTATGAAGCAAAAGATGAGAGATAGACTTTTCCTTCACGGTGCTGACTACACGAGTCTGTACGAGCACTTTGACCCCGAGCTCCTCCCACTGAGTCTCGGCGGGTCGGGCAGCGAGTTTGACATCGACTGCCTCACGAGAATTTTCCGGAAGGAACTCGCCGAAAGACCGCCAAATTCCCAGGAAACGGACACCACAGTTCAACAGGAGAGTGATATTCCTATCACTGACACAACACAGTGAATCAGCATGCAGACACCTCCAATTAATATTGAGCAGGGTTGTAAATAATTGAGCACTTTAAAAGCAGGTAGTCGATGTTTGACTACAACCTTCCATTCGCTTTGAGTGTGGCTAAGCATAAAGTAGTGTGCAGCATCGTACACCTATTATAGCATTCCAGGGCTCAGGTAAACAATATTTATTGCCAACACCCCCTCAGAGGAGGCAATGAATTATAACCTCAGCCTGGAGTTTTGTGTGGACTCCCAGCCACAGAGACTCCGGTACACGCTGCAGTTGAGAATGGTGCAGCTGTAGAAATCTCTCGCAGCTCTCCATAGCACAGACACCTTGGAAGCCGGGTTCTCTTTTCAGTATAGTGCAGGGAGGTTGCGCACAATCAACATTCCTAAGCTGTGCGCGAAGGTAATGGCGTCATACAACACGCGCTTATTGTTCGAGCCACACCTCCTCCCCCACACGATCGAGCTAGAGGTCGATCGCGTTCTTTTGTGGTCACTGAATTAGTGCCGGACGATCGAAGCAACAGGTGGGGGATAAAAGAGGGCCCTGACCCGCCGTTTGCTAACGTATGGCATCTAACGCGGCACTCATGAACAGCGGAGGCGGCGACGGTGTGAGCGCCATTTCAGGCCACACTCTTCTCAAGGCGAGAATGGAGTTGAGGGAGGTCCCTGAGAAACGTATGGAGAGCATACGGCAACTCCGCAAGGCCATCGAGTCCTATCGCCGAATGCCGGGCGAAGACGAACTTGTGTTCAAGCGCACTGACAATAAGTTTCTCCTCCGTTTCCTTCGCTCGAGAAAGTTCGACGTGGAACGAGCGCTCCAGGTCTACGTCAACTACTACAAGTACAGACACAAGCACAGAGAGTGGCTGAAAGATGACGCCTCTCCGGACGACCCAGCGCTCAAACGGATAATGGAATCGGGGATGTTTGCGGTGCTTCCCGTCCCGCTCAAAGACGGGTCGCGAGCCGTCTGCATGTGCCCCTCGCGCTGGGACGTGGCGACAATGGACGCATTTGAGTGCTCCCGCGTCTTCGTCCACGTACTAGACAAACTCCTGGAAGACGAAGAGGCACAGGTACACGGCATTACCCTCCTGGACAACGCAGAGAACTCGTCCCTCCAGAAACTCTACCACTTTATGCGGACGGAAGTGTGGAAACTAGGTATTGACTTGCAGGATGCATTTCCCGCTAGGTTCAGAGGTCTCCACTTCATAAACCAGCCATGGTACATCAGCCTCCTAATGAGTGTGGTGCGACCGCTACTCAAACAAAAGCACAGAGACCGTTTCCATGCACACGGGACAGACGTCCACAGCTTCTACCAGTACGTGGAGCCCGAGAACCTGTTTGCCGATTTCGGGGGCTTTCTCCCTCCGATAGGACGCAATAGTTTGAAAGATTTTTTCGAGACAGATTTCGGCGACAACCCAACAGTTGAAGATCTCTCCTAGCTGCTGTGATTAACAGTTGAGGCCTCGGCACTTCCTTTCTGTTTCTAAATATGTGCTATTTCCTGTGACTCTATGTGTTATATATCAGCACCACCATTCCCCTATTTATTCCATACATGCCTTAGTCTGTGTATATAGCTGTTCTGAGCTGACTTCCTCTGCTCCCACACACACACAATGACTCATCACATCATGTATCACCTTTTGTTGTGTTACATTCTGTATGTGTGTCTCACGTGTGTGTGTACGTGTGTGGAAGCTCTAGCTTTAGGGATAATGTTATTCTAATGTGGCTACATAGGTGAAACACGGGATATAGCTAAGAGAAGTGCATACGTACACGGATATCTAGAGTGAGCTACGCCCCTCTTTCTGGTTAATTCCACACCGTCAATTAATTAGCAGGTGCGCGTGCGCGCGGATTTAAATAATTATCGTAAAAATGGCGGCGGAGGTGGAGGGGCAGTTTGCAGGAGTGGAGGTGGTTCTCCAGCAAGAAGAGACGAGAGCATTTGCAGACGGTCGCGAGCTGGGCCCGGGCCTACTCAGCGTTGAAGAAAGGTGAGAACTAAAAGTATATATACGGCGTGAAAATGCATCGGTCCCCGTTCCGTTCTGGAATTGAACCGGCTCTATTCCCCTGTCTCTATTCCGTGGCCACAGTAGCCTTAGCTGGAGAAGCAGCGACGGATCAGAGAACCTGGAACTGGAGTATCCAAACATTGCCATTCACGCAATCAGCCGTGATACGTCGGTCTTCCCTCACCACTGTGTCTATATTCAGTACCTTCGTCAACCCGGCGATGCTGAAGAGGGGGGAGAGGGGGAAGGAGAGGAAGAGGAGCAGGGGGAAGTGATAGAGTACAGACTGGTACCGCCATCCTCCGACAACCGTTAGTATTCTCAATAATGTTTGGGTGTGCATCTCTCGCCCTTGTTAATTGCTTCACCTCACAGCTATAGAAACTTCCTTTCTTAGTTTACACCACACTGTGATACCATACCCATTCAGAACGTGTTGTTTGCAAACACTGCGTGCGTGTGTGTGTGTGTGTGTGTGTGTCTTTCACAGTGGAGGAGATATACCGTGCCATCACTCAATGTCAGCTGCTCTATCCGGACCCTGACCAATCAGACTCTGACGAGGAGGGGCCGGAAAACGAGGAAGGGGAAGAAGAAGGAGTCGGTGACGTGATAGATCTAGAGGGAGGGGAATTTTTCACGTCCTCCGAGGGATTTGACCACCTCTCACCTCACGGTCTCACGACTCTGTCTCATCTCGAGAGAATCTTGCAAATACAATCTCCTGCCGAGTTTGAAGCTACCATATCCAATACCAATGGTACGCTGCAGTATTAACTCATTTTTATCTGCAGTGAAACCACGACCCTCCAAATACGGGCACCTTCCCCACACCAGTATAATTATGCCTCAATAAAGAAACTCTTTCCTCAGTAACTCGGCTTTTTTGTTGATCAGCACACGTGTTTTGCTGGTCTATGGTTTGTTTACAGTGAAACCTCTGAAAAGGGACCCTGGCACCTTCCCCACACCAGTATAATTATGCCTCAATAAAGAAACTCTTTCCTCAGTAACTCGGCTTAACTCAGAGGATTCACTGTATCTTTACTCGTGTATAATTATAGGTACATCTCAGGAGGAAACGCCTGAACAGTTCAAAGATACCGATTAAATAAACTTTCAACACCCTCCTTATCCCAATAACCAATATTACTCTTTGTGTCCATGTTCTTCAAAAGAAAACTTCACATAAAATATCATTTCGCTGTACATTTTGGGTGCAGAGCCCCAGTAATAAATAGCCTAGCTACAGCTGTAAGATACATATTATGCGAGTGAGGGGCATGTTGTACTGTTGAAAAGAGGGTAAGGAGAAAGTGGTATAATAGAGGATGATAATTTTCGAGACAGTCTATATATGTATGTAGAATTCAGTCGTGTTTGTTGTTGTTGGAAGAGGTGGGCTCCAATTGGAGTTGTCTCGCGGGTAGGATGAGGGAGACGACGGCGATAATAAGCCTCAGGAAAAGAGTGTAGATTTTGCCGAGTAAGAGGAGACATGCAGTCTGATGAAACACGGCCCAGAGGCGGTAGTAGGGTCCGGCAAACGGATCCATCAGCGCTGGGCACAGGAGGTAGTTCAGGTTCACGTGTGTCAGCTGACAGACAGAAAGGGGGAGTGAGGTTTGCACTAAACAAATCGCATAATATGGAGTAGAAATGAGGAGCAGTATTATAGTGACGCATGAATTACCACAGTAGATATCATTACTCTGTAAGGTAGCTGTGTAAAGACACCACATCTACATAAGGGAAGCTGCATTCTTAACCTGTCAACACTTCAACCATTCACGTACTTGCTTGTTTGTATAATACCGACAAAGCTATATTGTGTCTCTAACCAAAAACTCCCGAGGCTCAAGAATTCTCCATTAGCTGCAGGTGTGAATAGCCAGAAGATGCAAATGATCCTACACTGTATCCTGTGCTAGAGCCTCAGATATCCTGACACAGTTCCTAATATGGGCTGCCTGTTTTAACCACACTTCCTCCATACATCCTGCCACCTTCATTATGTCACTGCCTGTGCTAGTGTCAATGACCCAGTATGAAAATAGCAAGGAAGCCTTTTGTGGGGAAAAGTATGAGAATGTTAATAGGACCAGCGCTCTACAAAGGGTATTTGGTCATTACGGTATCTTAGCAACTTCTAGTTTCTCTTGCAAGGCGAAATATTTTTTCATGGTTTTAACTTTGTACCCCTACTTAGGCGCATATTAAATTTGTATATCTAGCTGCTATTATAAATTGGCTCACCAGAGCTATAGGTTGCATGATGTAGTGGTGCTGCACTCCAAATAGAATCCCAGCAAAACAAGCCCACGACCACTCTTTGAACGGCTCCAGTGTACTCGGCCCTTATCAGAACATTACATAATCATTACATCATCACAAAAGTGGAGTGGACTATTACTTACCCCAAAGCCATATCAAATATGGAGGTACAACGAAGAATATGGCGACATGCTGTACCCAATACATTATAATCTGCCCTGGAAACTGACGGGAGGAAAGGAAGAGGATCAAGAGAAGAAAGATGAAACGGGGAGAGCAGAAAGGAAAAAGGTCATTAAAGGTCATTAGGAGGAAAGGGATTTTTGTGGTCAGGTTTTTGTGATCAAATATTGATGTCTGACAATTTCAGCTGCAATGCCCTTTCGATACTCCTTAATGAGAGCGACTTATGCTATAGATTAGGAGAGCCACATTGAGCATTACTAGTGTATAGCTAGCGAGTGAATGTTACACGTGGTTGACATGAGGAGTTGCTCATTTGAATGAAGTGCTAAAAATTTGGTAAGCCAAGCGCAAATTATGCCCTTTGCAGGGGACCTTGAAAGCCACTGAATAAGACATAAGGAACTGCAACTATATAGCAAAAGTTGCGAAGAAAATGAGTGTTTTTTATGTATATACACAACTTGAATAGCTATCCAAAATCCCCAGTAATAATAGAACCAAAACAACTGCATAGCTTACCTGTCGAGCAAGGGTATCAGGAAGCAACATGGCCACCATTGCTCCGTATACGTAGTGAATGAGTATTCTGAATATATACAGGGGGAAAAGCATTGGGATTTGATGTCTCACAGTACCATCATAATCGCGTGTTTGTTAAAGAAATCGTGGGTTAGTTTAGTAAGGCAACAACTGCAGGAGTGGTGGAAGAATATAGAATACACCAAGGTGGGCCAACAAACGTTTGGATAAATATTATAAGAAAGCGCTGAAATGGACATTAGCATTTTGTACCTCAGTAATGAAAATGAGAACTTCCCTGGCTTTGATGCTAGTAGCCATATCTAGAGAGAAATTGGGTTAGCACATGAAACACATTGAGTGTCAGATCTTGCAACTGCAGGTCTACCTCAATCACGGTGATGATGTGGCATGGGTTGAGCAGATAGAGGGCACTGCGATTGCAGATCTTGTATCCTATCTCGATGCCAAACAGAAGACACAGGGCTGCTAGCAGAGCCCGCTTGCTCAGGAGGTCTTCGTGTCTGGGGAACGTCTTGGGCATGGTGAGCGTCCTCCAGGCGAGGGTGCCCGCCACCACCATTATCGTGGATGTTAGTAGGGTCTCTCCAATCATCTGCTTGGGAGTGAGGTAGTTAGCGCACTCATCGCCGCCGTGCCCCGGGATCTCCGGCCGTATTCCGCCGTACAGGACGTTGCCAATGCTCTTCAAGGCCTCCTCCATTCTCTCTTCTCCCGAGACAGAGCTCTTGTTTTTCTCCTAGCAACACACACAGACACAACGAACACGCTGCAGAGCTGGTATGCGCATGCGCACACGGAAGAGATGGTGGTGTCCAATAAGAAATCTTTGTTAGGGAGAAATGACGGAGAAGATACCGCGGGAGAAACAGAACGGGGCGTATCCTCACGACCTATCCGTGGAGCGGAAGAGCAGCGCTGGCGACGCTTCGACGTCGACAGCCGTTCCGAATGGCATCGCTCGTCCGACAGCTGCGAGTGTCCTAGTAGTGTGTCCGGAAATGTGTTGCTACTGTTTCGAAGTTCTGATAGCCCACCTAACAAACAGCCACCACAGCTCCAGGAGCCTATTTCTAAAGTGCTTCAAGAACGACGAATAGTGAGTCGCCACCAAAGGCTAAACAAATTTTAGCTTCGTGTGTATGATATGAGTGTGCGGTTGTGCGCGTGTGAATTGCTTGTTTTGTACCGTTGTGTGAACACAAATGCATATCTTCACGTAGCCCACTCTTTGTGACGTGGAAGATTGGTCGGGAGCACAGACTCAGGGGTTGTATGGGCACTTTCTCTGCCAAAAGGCTCCACAAAGGCTTGGCAGAGTACTCCATCACAAGGTGATTATCACCACACACACCTTTTTACAGTTGCCTCTTCTCTTCTCTCTTTTCCTCTCCCTCTCAAAAGTTCCACTAAGGATAGCAGGTTCCCCCCAATCTCAACTGAAGAAATCTCCAGACTCGAATGCGGCGTGTCTCTTCTCACCAACTTTGAGAGAGCAGCTCACTATCAAGACTGGGAGGTATATACATTATATTGTCCCTATTATTAAAGTATTATACACCTAATTTGTGGTTCGTGTTTACAGATAGGTGTCCACGGAATTCAGATAGAGTTTCGCGTGTCTTCTGGTTACAAGATGGCTACATATCTCCCCGAGATAGCTCGAGAGCAGGGCTGGACCAAGGTTCAAACCATTGACTCCCTCCTGCGAAAGGGAGGCTATAGGGAACATATTACGGAAGAATTCCGTCGAACGGTTTGCGTCGTTCGCTACCAGAGCGAAAAGTGTGTGCTGTCGTACGACGAATACTGCCGGTATCATCGGAGGCATAGACCGTACTAGTCCTCGTGCTAGCCATGAGTCCATTACGTGTCTTTGTCTTCTTGGTTCTGGGTCACTGTCTGCTAACTGCATTCTCAACCGACTCCACGCGCCTTCTGAACTATTATTTTATCCTGAACGTATGTGTTATTGCTCTTATTTATTAAAATTTTTATCCCAGCTGTGGATTAGAGCAGGTTTTATTGTAAATCCCACCTGTACCATGATAATCTCTTCTCGCTTTTTAGCCGAGGTCGTCCGAGCATGCGCAAATCACGTGGGCTCGGCATGAGCATGCAGGGGGCGGGGCGGCATGCGCAGGGGGTGTGTGCGTACGATGGAGGAGCCTTCTCCAGCGAAGAGACGTCGAGTTGAAGATGAAGAAGGAAACAAAGAAAGGCGGGAGGTCCTTGTGGCGAGTCTGCGAAAACTCGCCGACGCTATAAACAAAGCGGCGGAGGAGACGGGGTCGGAATTCCAAGCCGATGACTCACCCGTGGACTTTGAGAAATTCTTGAACACCCCAGGGGGAAAGGGGATACGGCGTCTGTGGTCCCACGTTGCCAGCTACGAAGAGTGTCTGCGATCCAACGGCGTGGGGACGTACGCTGAGCTTGAGAAGCTGTGGGAGAGCCAATACGGTTCCCAAGACGTTCGAGATGCGGTGGAAGAGGTTTTAGATGCGGAAGAACGACACGAGGCGCTGCTCAAAGACGTACAAAAAGAGTTTGTGAAGGCGCATAGCGAACTTCAGCTCAAGGAAATAGGGGACGCTTTACCTGGGGATTTGAAAGTCGCAGACGGAAGAACAAAGGAAGTACAAGAGATCCAGAGCTACTGGGAAGGCTCGAAATTCACTCTATTTGTCCTCCTGCGTCACTTTGGATGATCTCCGTGACACGCCCACTTGGAGGGGATAAAACGGGAGATTGAGCAATTTCGCCAGGTGGGGTGCCGAGTTGTGATGGTGGCTTGCTCTCTGGTGGACACTGCCTCGTCGTGGGTCCAGAACTGTGGATTTGATTTCCCGCTTGCTGTTGATACCGAGAGAGAACTCTATGTATCTCTAGGTCTACCTAGATCCGTGCTGATATGGACCATCCCTACGCTCACAAAGTACGCAGAGCAATTGAGAGCCGGTATAAAACATCTTGCATCGTGGAAGGGGGACGATATTTACCAAATGGGAGGAGATTTCGTTGTCGATTCCGCAGGGAAACTGGCCTACATTTACAGAGGCAAGACCTCTTATGACCGGCCTCTTGTCAAAGATCTTATAGCTGCACTAAAACAGCTAGAGAAGTCTAGTGATAACTAATGTGTGGAGCCTTAGGCAATGTGAATGATGTGTGTTTGAAGCCCTCACTTGAAATCTTTCCCCAGTGGAGAAGAGTGTGGTGCTGATGTAATCATGACATCATCAAGTGTTTGAATAATGGGTATATATATATGAATCTTGCGGGTTTATTTAGCGGTGAATGAAGCTATGTCTATTAGTTCGTTACTTAGTTGATTTGAGGGAGTGTGTTATCAGTGGTAGCCTGTAGATTGGTTGAATCTTGTCTGGTGTGAGTTGTGGGAGAAGGTGGAGGGAGGCGGGGAGGAGTGCCCTTGATATTGCCAGGTTTCTTGTGTCTGTGAGCTGAAGGGAGGGGACCGCACTGTTTGTCGTGCATCCAGGTGTGCGGGTACTTTGAGATGTTGGCCATGTACATCTTGTTCACCTCCCACTGGTGGAGCTGTGTGCACAGAAAACATTCAGGACACAACTGGACCATGGTGTCCTTTATTCTGTGGTTACTAAAGTTTTAGCAGCAGATTGCCTTTACAGAGATGCATATACAATGTTCGACTGAAATCCTGACAGAGTCTTACTATGGTCTTACCCACTGCATGTGGTTGTAGTGTGCCTCCTTGGACTGGATTCTCTTCAGAATGGCCTGGTTCTCGTGAGTAACTCGCAGCAAATCCCTCTGCCTCCGCGTCTTGTTTAGACTGAGCATAATCAGAGCAAGAATTAGTTATTAATTGAAGCTGCGTGCATAAATTAAACCTTCTCTGCTGGTAGTTGTTGACGTTGTCGACGCGTCCCCTGGTCCTCATGATGCGAGCCATCTTGTCGAGAAGGATCCCGTTGTCTCGCTCCACGACGCCGCGTCGTTCCTCCTCCATTTGCAGTTTCTTTAGGTCCAGGTGGAGATGCATGTACGTCTGCGGAGGCTTATTGTCGATCATCGGCTTCGCGTTACGGACCTATATAAAAAGACAGAGGAGCATCTTCGAGGCGGAAGGGAGTATAAGAGAGAGACCTTCATTCTGTGGAGGTCGAAGCGGCTCTTATCCCACCGCCGCTTCAGGATCATGTTATTGGCCGGCGTGATGGATTGGTAGGCCCTCGCCTGGTGCATCTTGCTTGCAGCTGTCTAGAAGGAGAGAGAAGACAACGAGTGACGAAGAGGGAGGAGCTGATTGACAGCTGATCGAGCAGAAAGGAGGGTGTCCCTGGAATTTGAACAGCTTGATTATCGGCGTTGTCATGCCGACAGATTATTAGCGTAAACATTGACGTCATCGCTTTTCTGCGTCCAAAATTGCCTCGGGGGTGCTGGAAGAGAGCTCAGAGCTCAGAGAGCAGGGAGAGAGATGAGTCATCGCTCCTACCAGCCGACCCAGTCGTGCGGCAGCAAACTACTGCAGCAGAAATGGGACGCTATCTACTACAAGGAGCACAGACGTCTGGTAAAACGAAACGACGTTCGTCACGCTTACCGTTTTAGATGCGACATGCGATGGTTTGCAGGTGAAGTCGGCCAAGCCAACGGTGGACACCAGCGCCCCTGCTAAGCCACTGCACTTGATAGCCAAGTGGAAAAAGCAACAGGTCAACCTAAGTCCTGTTAGTGGAAGACTAGCTGGTCATAGTTGTGTTTGCAAGTGTAGCTGGAGAAAGAGAGGGCAGAGGAGATAGAGAGGGACAACTACACGCTCATGAAGAGAATGCATAAGGTCATGACCACTCAAACATCTCTGGACACTCGCAGACACCACAGGTAAAAGATGACTGTGTACCGTTTCCTTCTATCTTCACTCTTTCCCTCCTTTTTCACAATACCATATATAGCCTCAACGAAGAGAAGAGACAAAGAGAAATGGAGAGAGTTGCTCGTGAGAATAAGGTAAGCAGTACTGCTCTTTTATTCCGAAAACGCTACAACTAAAAGCAATGGCAATGCAAATCACTGTGTGTGTACAGGCGATGCTACAGAGACTGCAAAAGGTGAAGCCAGTCTACAGAATAAGCGACTGGATCGACGACTGGCAAAAGAGCGAAGAGCTGACCCAGAGAATCGCAGCCTACCCCACAAAATACCCTGTTAGTTACCTTCTTTGTATTGTAGGTTTTGAAGGAGAATACCATGGGGTAGCTAGTCTTACACCTGCAGTAAAATAGGTTGCTGTCACAAAATTTCATAATAAATTTTGCTCAAAATTTGTGAACCTCTACTGTACAGTATTGTTATGTAAGGAAGGCAGGGAACAAGTTATTTTACTTATGTGCAGAGTCGAAGTAAGAGTGCTCCTCATGGTGGTAAACGGGCCTCTAGTGGTGGTGGTGGTGGATTGGCAGCCTCGACACCTCAGCCAATGAAAAAGAGTGTAGCAGACACAAGAGAGGAGGGACAGACTGAGACGACTGAAACAAAGGGAGATACCAAAACTGGTTAACGACTAGAAGTAGCTTGATCGAGTAAAAAAGTGAAGTTTCTATCACGTACTGGAATTTTGTATAATACACGAAATAGATGTATTAAGTGTGGTATACAGAACACGAAATTTTAAATGATGACATCATTGTGTGTAAATACGACATCATTGTAAGGGACTCTCGAACTGTGCTAGTGCCTGTATAGTCTCTGCGAGTTCTGGGGGAATCCCCTCTAGAAGATCGGCCTCGTTGGCACTGGCAAGATTCTGGATGTCGGGGAGAATTTCTGGAGTGAGCGGGGAAGAGAGGGAGGGTGTTTGGGGAGTGAAAAAGGTGGGAGTGTGGGGTGTGAACGGTGAAGATGTGATAGAAGACATGCGCTGGGGTCTTGTGGGGTGAAAAGTGGGGGAATTGGTGGAAACGAGGGCGGTGGGGTTGGGGAAGAGGGGAGGGTGGAAGGGAGGGAGGGAGGATGAAAAGAGAGGCGTTGAAGGATTTGATAGAGATGTGAGTGCCTCTGACAGAAGATGTGTCGTATCAATGACCTCTCCAGGCAAAACCGAAGATTCTCCGGCTGACGATCCAGGTGTACCGACAGCTCCACCGTTTCCAGTATGTGCAGGCTTTACCTCGTCCAGTGGAGAGCTGACGAGTTGCATGAGGTCCAGCCCACCCAAAAGATTTGGCTCGAGAAATTCTAGTCCAAGTTGAGACGCCAAGGCCGCCGCCGTCGTGTCTTCTGTAGCTGAGGAACAGAGTTCGCGAATGAGGGCTTCGTCTGATGAAGACGACATCATCATGACATCACCGGTAATTCGAGAGTCACTAGTTGGCAGCGGTATTGGAATTGATGATGTAATGGGTGTTGTTTGGAAGGCGGGGTTCTTTTGGGGTGAAGGTGCAGCGTTGGTGAGAGGGGGAAGGGAGGATGAGAGGACAGAAGAGAGAGAAAGTAGGGGAGGTGGCACAGGGGGTGTGGCTCGCACGGCTACCAACGAAGACTGAGACATTGGAGCAACACTTGGCAAGGAAGCCAGTTTTGCAGCTGAGATAATCGGCAGAGAGAGAGACGAAGATGGGAGGAGGGGCTGGATTGTGACTCCACCCACTCTCCCCAGCGTGCTCCGGGCCCAAACTGACGGAGAATTGATTCTGGGACTCCAAAGATGTCCCTCTTTCTCCCTCCCAAGTTGGTCTCCTGTGGCTTTGCTGTAGTAACAATGTGAGAATGTGGACTGAAGAGTAATGGGGGAGGAGGGCCAGGAGGCTTAGTCACAGTGTTGTTAGCAGTGCACGTAGTAGGTGGGGGAATTGGTAGAGAAGATGGGTGGATGACTGAAGAGGGGAGAGAGGGAGGGGGCAAAGAAATGTCTAAGTCTGGTGGAGAAGACACGTGGACTTTCTTGGGTGAGGGAGGGAAGTCGGCATCTGTTGGATGAGGTCGTTTTCTGGACTCCGATTTTTGGGACTCACCACTGTCAGTCAGTAGGGGGAGAGGTTCTTTACCTACTCTCTCTACAGCAGACATTGTTTCAGTCAGCGGCGCAATAAGAGTGGAAGAAGATCCTTCTTTTGTCTTCTCTTCTTCTTCCTCGACCACTTTTTGAACTGATCCAGAGCTGATAGTCTTTTCATCAGACAAAGTTGAGCTATAGTGGTTGGGTGTGATGCTAGAGATAAGGAATGAGGCAGTGTATTTGTAGCTACTGAGGACGAATGCGGGGGTATGATGGCTGTATTAGCTACCGAGGACGAAGGCGGGGATACGATGGCTGTATTTGTAGCTACCGAGGACGAAGGCGGGGATACGATGGCTGTATTTGTAGCTACCGAGGACGAAGGCGGGGATACGATGGCTGTATTTGTAGCTACCGAGGACGAAGGCGGGGATACGATGGCTGTATTTGTAGCTACCGAGGACGAGGCGGGATACGATGGCTGTATTTGTAGCTACCGAGGACGAAGGCGGGATACGATGGCTGTATTTGTAGCTACAGACGAAGTGGGGTACGATGGCTGTATTTGTAGCTACCGAGGACGAAGGTGGGGATACGATGGCTGTATTTGTAGCTACCGAGGACGAAGGTGGGTACGATGGCTGTATTTGTAGCTACCGAGGACGAAGGTTGGGGTACGATGGCTGTATTTGTAGCTACCGAGGACGAAGGCGGGGGTATGATGGCTGTATTTGTAGCTACCGAGGACGAAGGTGGACTGGTAGCAAGTGAGAACGGACACGGGGACAAAATTACTGGATCTGTGGATAAAGATGGTGGCTCGACAGCCAGATCTGTAGCTGCCGACGATGAAGATGGAGGTAGAAGAGCTGGATCTGCAGCAGCTGCTGAGGACGAAAGTGGAAGCAAGATAGATGGATTTGTAGCTGCTCCAGAACTGATGTCTCTAGCAGGTGCGGCGGCTACTGGCATAACCTCCTCACACACAAGCCCCGACTCAGGAACTTTCTCTCTCACACTCTTCTTCCCATCCTCTGAGATTGGAGAACTCTGAATATCCATTTTCTCTTCCTCCTCTTCCTTCTTTCTCTCCTCTTGTTCCTCCTGTTTTGACTCGGTCTTTCTCCTCCTCTTCAGCAATAATCTCTTTTGTTTGACATGTTTCTTTCATTTGAGGCTGAATTCCATCTTCTTTCGTCGCCACTCCACCTATTTTATGCGCAGAATCTTTTCCATCTGCTGCCTTCTCTCCCTGCTTCTCATCCACCTTCGTTTTTCCACCTGTCTCCTCCTCCTCCTCCATCTTTTCCTCGTCCTTACTTTCAACTTCATTCATTTTCTCCTCATCCAGAGTGGCGACATCATCACCGTTGCCGTCTCCCTTGCCGTCTCCCCCCTCCGACTGTGACGTGATAACTGCATCGTGAGAGCTCTCACCAACGGTCTTCCTGACTTCCAGCAGTCCGACCAACATTGGCGATTTCGCTCCAGTAACGCCTTTGCCCTGTTTCCCACTCACCACTTTCTCTGGAGTGTGCACGGAGTGCCTCCCAGTAGAGGACGCCCCTCTTGCCATTGAGGGTGACAATGCGATGTCTTTATTTCCAGTGGGCGAAAGTTTTTCTTCTTTTACTGGCGTTTTACTCTGACTTGCAGTCGAGGGAGAAGATGTGTTAGTGGTGGATGGGGTAGAAGAGGACGGTTGAATCGAGGTGGTCGTAACAGAAGCTGAAATTTCACTCGAGGCTGACGATTTTGATGGCGATTTCACTAGGGTCTTACCCGCACTTGTTGGGAGGGATATTTTCCCGAGCGCTTGCTTCACACCGGCCGTCGTGACGGAATTTAGTGGATTCTGAGAGATGATGTACTTTAGCACGTTCTGGACCTGCGTGGACGTGTTCTTTCGCAGCTCCGGATCGGCTCGCCCGGTCTGCAGGCTGAGTGCACTGCTGACCGTGGCGGACGTCAGGAGGTGAGGAAGATGAGAGAGCTGTCGGGCAACGAATCGGGGATTTGTGGACGCCAGTTTCTGTCCCTCTCTCACCCACATCTCCTCTGAATCGGCCGAGCACACACTAGAGATTCAAATGTTTGAGCACCAGCATTATTAAATTGACATCAATACACTACTGATGTTGATGTTAATGGAAAGACAGTGTGTATATACCTAGTTTGTGTGGTCTCTTTCTAATCCAATCCAGATTATAGTAATTTCAGGTAAATGTTGATTGCAAGCATGAATGCTGCCTTGGTTATGAGCGTATGTACTGTACATACTCACTCACCAACTTGCAATGGCAGATAGTAGTTCATCATTTGCAGCTCTTCTCACCTCTGCTCTGTGTCTCTCTGAGGATATCCTACATAAACACACACACTATTATAAAGAGCTCTGCTACCATAATGGTTCCACTAACTCACCCCAGTAGCTTTCCAAGTTGGTCCAAGGAACACTTCTTACCACTGAGAAAAGAAACGCAAGTTGTTGGTAAGAAAATATTATACTAAGTGTCACTTACCCAGTCAGCGGCCCCTGGGCTCTAAAGGCTGTCATTACCGACGCATAAGCTTCAAGTTCTGTGACATAAGAAAGGTTTTTTGAAGGTAATACAGCATCAAAGTACGTTACCTAGGCGGCGTAGGGTCCTCCGGGCGCCCGCTACTGCCACCGACGGATCGACGCCCATTCTGCTCCCACTCATAGCTCGATAGGATCACTTCCACGCAAAAAATCGACAGAAGTCTAGAAGCGACATCTTGCGATGGGCTCCATTTAGAATCGTAAACATGCCGAATGAGCATGCGCAATGGAGTAGTTGTCGACACGCGCGCGCGCGCGTCGCTGCGCATGCATACCGCGCAGATGTTGCGTCTTCGAAATGTCCCGCGGGAAATCGATCATCCACCATGACCGCCGTAAGGTGTGTACCGTAGCTACGTACTAGCTTGATACGCACCGTGATTTTTCAGACGCAACCGAATTGTGGCATGATGTTGCACACAAAACATCCTTAGTCCTAAACACACATACACACACACACTGGCCCAGCTAAGAAATTTCCTCTATGGATTGTTAACTTTTACTCCACTATCTAATATCCCTGTGTAGTGTTATAAGTTTTCCATCGTCTCTCCCTTCAACAAGTGTTGATCCAGTGAAATTTACAATCTGTAGGAAAATATGCGAAATGCACTCAAAATAGTTTTGCATTAGAGCCGGTCACTCAAACCTTATATCTTCGAGCTAGAATCAGCACCCCAATCAGATCAGGGAAAACTCCTTCGGTCTCTTTCTGAAGTTTTCGAAAAGTGGTGCACATTGACCCGTCCATCTGAAACATACCGATTCTCTTTATCTCCATTGTAAGCTGTATGTGTGTGTGTGTGTGTGTGAAAACGATGTTGAGTCACTTAGGCTATAGCTACCATGTGTACTCACTTGGTACACAGTTTCACAATATTGCAAGAGTGAAAACAGTGGGGCATTTTTTAGAAGCATGGAACTTCAATAGGCACAGATAATGCAATTTTACCTGTCTAATGAAAATGTTGGGATTGTTGTACCAGTGACCCGAGCTGTTGCCGTTATTCTGTGAATTTGCTGTTGTTCGAGTGACTCCAATAGTTGATCCAGTGGTATTGCTGCTGCTTACAGAAAGTGAGCTAGTGTCCGAACGGAGCTCCGGTGGAAGAGGCGGCTTGAAATTTGGTGGCGGGGGGAGAAAAACGCTCCTCTGCCCGCTGTCAGAGTTCACAGACACCTTCATACGGGGGTGTTTTGGTGGTATTGCTGGTGGAACGACTTTATTACCCGGCCCTGCTGCATCTGGGATGGTCGATAGCTCTGTGGTAATCTCCGGGCTCTGTACTGCTCTGGATTTCTTGAGGATTGGTTTCGGTTTGAGAGGTGGTGGTGGGGCAACTGCACTCGTTGGCTCCAACTTAGTGAGATCTCCAAGACTCGAGGACATGGACTTAGGGGGTTGGGTTGCCGGGAGTTGGGGAATGATCTGCAGGCGTCGCTGAGGGGGAACTGCGGTTCTTTTCTTTGGTTGTGTGAAGGCTGAAACGTCTACGGATTGGGGTCGCGGTGGAAGCTCGTAGCCGTCCATGTCTACGGGCCATCTGGTGGTAATGAGCTGCTGCTGGCCCGCGTGAGCCGGTGTGCGCTGTTTCTTCACCTGCAGGCGATCGAGACTTCCTCCGCCTGCACCGTAGTGCGGCCGCGGGTGCTGAGTAACTGCGTAGTGCCCGGCGACAGCGGGCTGCGGCGGTCCGGGTGGGCGGCGAGTTTTTCTTGTTGCTGCCGCCGCGCGAAAATTGGGTTGAGGACTGCCGTCCAGCCACAGTCGGGCGTTCGCTGCTTGACGATTGTGGGGGGGCGGTGGTCGTTTTCCTTTCGGAGGGTTGAGGCCAGTGCCGAAGAAAAGATTGGGTGCAGATCCATATCGACTTTTTCCAGAGGAGGGCGGCGCGACTCCGGGCGCTCGATTGACTTTTCCCCTTCCTTGCTTAGCGAAGCGGGGAAGCTCCGTGGGCTTGTCCGCCGCCTCTGCTGCTAGACCCACGGGAGTATACGTAACGTCGCCGCTAAGACTCGCGTGTACTTTCGGCAAGCGCGGGCCCGGTGACGAGTAACTTCGCTTCTCTCGCGCCTTTCTCTGTTCCTCAGCCGTCGCGTCGTAACTCTGCGGGACATCCTTCGGTCGAATGCAGGGAGTACTGGCGGGCCGTTGCGGCGGATCGGGAGCATGTCTTCGCTTCTTCTTGTAGTTGAGCACCACGGAGACGCTAGAAATACTTTCAACCCAGCGCTTTGCATCTGCAGCCGTCGCTGCATACATGTAGTAGGTCCGCTTCAGCACGGAGAAAGAGAAACAACAGCAAGCCGGGACAGCGCCGGGGAAATTTACTTTGCATTGATCAGCGCCGAGCTTCACTTCGTAACACGACCGCGCGACGTCGATCTCTCCCAGTAGTCTTGTGCGCTCCTCGTTCTTGAAGTAAAGGAGCGTCCCGTCATCCGTGAGTTGCCACCATCGCTTTTTCCAGCGGCCGAGACTCCGCGTTCGCTTGGCAAGGTAGCCCGATACCAGGATAGCCGGGCCCATATCGATAAAGCCGCCTGTCGCCCCCACGGGGGCCTTTGCCACCCGTTGCATCAATACTTCTCCTCTAGTGTTCGAATTTGTAGTGAATGCAGAGGCCGTGTTGTCACTTTGCAGGGCTTTGTCGCTACGACTTGCGAAGAATGTTCGTACGCATGCGTACAATTAACGGGATCACGCGACCCACGTGCGGCGAGCCACCAGCTAGTCCAGCAGCTTAGCACACGGTCGAGAATGGATGCACCTACGCTGGCAGTCGAAGTTAACAAGGCCTGCGAAGTTCTCACTGACCTTCGCTACTTTCGAGACGAAGCCAGTACGTCGGCGGCGCTTCGAACCATTTGCCGACTTCTAAACGAAGCTGCGGGCGGAGAAGAGCGTTCCTTCATCTACCAGGTGGCCACCTCGGCAGGCGGAGTGTCCGCGCTGCTGGGAATCATCCGCTGCTGTCCCTCTATCAGTGTTCTTGCGGACGCAGCCAGTTGCCTCTCTCTACTAGTCCAGGGGAACGAGCGAGCTGCGCTGGACCTCGCATCACGTGACGTCCTCTCCCCTCTCCTCCCGCTGCTCTACCCGCGAAAACAGCAACATTCCTCCTCCTCGGACGAGCGCTCCAAATACCCTCTCTCCTCTCACTCGCGATTTCTGTGGACTCGCGAACGGCTCCCTTTGTACGAAGCTGCGTCATCGGCGTTGCGCAAGCTCACCTACCACTCCTCAGACCTGGAACGAACATTGGCACAGAGGGGTGGCATTAGACTCATCATCGAGCTCAGCATCAGCCCAGAGTTTCTGGCCGAAACTTCGTGCTACTCACCAACGGCCAAAAAAGAGTTTGCCAAACTGACACTCGGGCAGAAGTACATGGCTAACGCAGCCCCAGCCCCGAAGACAACTCGAAGTGATCTGCTCGAGCGATTTCCAGCTCTGGCGTCCTTGGAGCACGGGCCTGAGTACCCGTACTATGTCGTTGATCTGGTCACCTACGAGAGAAAATGGGTCGTCGACTCTATCATCGATACGGGCCTTGTCTGGCCGAACCACGCTCCCTTCCCTGAGGGGGCGGAGCCGGTGTGGACGTGTGTGGGTGTGGTCTGTGTCGAGGATCCAGGGCACGTCTGGTGTCAGTTCTGCATCGATAAACCCAAGCCCAAAGTTGATGCTATGGTGGCTGCACTGAGAAGCATGGTGAGTTGGTCAATGTATTAGCAAGGTCTATTGTCAAGGGGGTTGTCATAGATACCACGATGTAAACAATGATGTAAATAGCAATTGCACTGCTCTCCCTAAAGAAGTGCGTACAAATTTCCACCTGTTAATGATTCCTTGAACATAGGCCCCACCCACTGGAGACGAGGTAATCGATGACATTCCTGAAGTTGGGGATTTCTGCATTGCATACTTTGAACCCAAGTATTGCCACGCCCTTTCTTCTATCGACAAAGGGGCTCTGTGGGGGCGTGGTCAAGTATTAGGGGTGGAGCCTGGTGCGAAACTCCGCCTACTCTCGCTCGACTTTGGCACAACTGCAACTCTCCCTCTCTCTCACGTCCGACCTTTCCTGCGAGAGTGCAGTGGAATACCGCCTTGTGTGAGTGTAGTTACCGTGGCGACTGATATACAATTATGTAATGGGTTAATATCGTTGCAGGCGGTACCATGTAAGGTATTGGGAGTGGCTCCGATACCAGTCTGTACCGTTGTGCAGGAGAATGCAGCAGGTATTAATTTTGCGAGTTGCTAAATTTACAATATTTTAAAGCTTCACGGTGACAATTTGTTTGGCAGCTGTACTCCGAAACCTGGCCTACGAGGATGCTGCGTACAGGAAAGAGATCGTTGCATTCAAAGGAGTTGAAGCTCTACTCCAGGTATTAACTTTCTAGAGAATAAAACTCTAGCGAACTTGGCGGGTGTATGAGATCGCAAACCTTTTACTTTGGTTTTAGAGATCCATCTGCCAAAAACAGTTGTCAAAAGTTGAATTACCAGTTCTGTAGTTACACAGTAGAACGTATTTTTTAACACTTTGTTTTTTGCCGGCAGCTGTCCCACAGTTGTGACGTGGCGCGTGGCACAACAGGCTGTGGCTGCTACTGCTCAACATGACCTCCAGCGAGGGGAGGGAAATGGGGGAGAGAGGAGTCCTGGGGAGCCTCCTTGGTGGGTTTATTGGCATTACATCACCATTACATCATCATTGTTACGTAATACTACTTCACTGATGTTAGATCACCGTCATAATTATAGATCACCATTAATACTATTGCAGCATCATTACATCGTCATTACATCATCCCCTAGAACTGGTATTAAGAGAGAAGACCCACTCTTCCATCCTCTACTTCTCGTTGGCAACAATCCACAACCTCATCACCGCAAGTCCTCAGAACCTCAAGAGATTGACCAATCAGAACGCTGCCGAGAAGCTGTCAGACCTCCTGGATAAAAGGTCGTTGAATGGAAAGGCGAAGGAAATGCTGGAGACGATTTTGAAAATTCTGAATCCATCGTCTCCAAGACAGATGTCATCAAAGAAGTGAGGATATTTCTGTAGAAGAATGCATGTAGTTCACCCACTGCGATTTGTGTTTATTATTGCGTCAACCACACAAAAGTGGGGATTACGTGTTTGCAATTTTGGAACTATGTATACAGTAAATGCCATTTTAAACCTCTATCTTGTCTCTCTCTCTAACAAGTGGAGGGAGAGTAAGCACAATGAGGATACCTCCTGTGTATCGTTGCCTGGGTGACCAGGAGCCAGGTAACGAGGTTGAAACGAAGGGGCAGGACGAAGACGAGGAGGTGTCTGGAGCCGTCGTCACGACAAACACTTTTCTCCATAATTCCTACATTGACTTTGAACAAGACGAGCACGTTGTTTCAAGTGAGTACCGAAGACCCATCGTTATTTGTGGGGGTTAAGGTTAGCATTTAACCCCTTCGTGTCTGTGTCAGGAATGTTGGTCCGGAGGATAAGTTAACCCCTTGGATGCTGCAACGAACAGTCTGTGCCATGATGAATACAGGTAAAACCTGTCTAACTGGTTGACTGAAAATTAGCTATAAATTATGACTAATTTTCTTAGGTGACCGGTGTGTGATTTACGTGGGCCTGTCTCAGAGCGGTAGAATTCACGGGGTTAAACTCGACAGGAAGGAGCGAGATCATCTGTGTGCAGATATCGACAGAATGATGAAGGATGGATTCAACCCATGTATTCAACACAATCAATACAAGGTTATACATAGGCCTTCATTTTGCATAATTGCTGTTTACATAAGCTCCAAAGGGGGCAAGAATAAATGAAGGGGGTCGCCCCCTTAAATGAGATACTTTCAGATAAATTCTGACGTTTGTTGGTTTCAGATACTATTTGTGCCAGTGGTGCCTGGTTCGCATCTGGTTCTTCCCGAGACGTACGTCGTTCAGTTGGAACTAGAGGCCAAGGTCAGCAGAAAGACTGTCTACACCATCGACAAGGAAGTGGAGGAGGAGAAGAAACAGCAGTACTACCGTCGCTGTGGCAAGACCAACGTTGAAGTGAGCAACAAAATGAACTATTCACATCACAGTGACCTCACTTCTAGTTAAAAGTCTCACGTTCAATGTCCCATTTACTTAGGGGTTTACTTGTGCAACTACACAATTCATTGGTTGGTCCCATCACAAAGTCCCAGGTGCCAGTATATTCTCTCATGCTATATAGCCCGAGTCAATTTATAGAGTAGCCGGATTTAGAGAGCAAATAGTGTCTTCCACTCTCTCCCAGATGTCTCTCCAGGAAATGGGGGACAGGTTGGCCGAGGAGTCGTCCAAAGAACACGGCAGTGAGATACAGAGTCTTCTCCAGAATATCGACACACTTCGTCTCAGTCTAGACCACGTGACCAAGCGGCTGTCTGGCTACCAGTAGGACTTCTTCTACACAGCAGTGAAAGAACGAAACTCCTCACATGACTACTGTGATTACCTCATCTTGAGAAAAAATTAGCCTAGTGACTGTCACAGCCTCTGCTGGCTGCCTGTAGGAGTCTACATTGTATATACAATGGATCTCGATCACTAGGGATCACTGAACTTAACTCCTCATGACTATCATGTGATCATTTATTCATTTTAACCATAATGTATATGAAAGAGACAATGATTAATGTTCAGTTGTTTGTTCAGAGCTTGCTGCGATAGTCTCGACATCCTTTCTCCAGATTCCTTCTCCTCCTCTCCCTCCCTCTCCTCTCCCTCCCTCTCCTCTCCCTTTCTCTCTTCTTCGACTCCCTTGTCTAGCAGTTTGTTGCCACTGGGTCTGAAGTAGTTACGGCTCACAATGTGTCTCACACACTGGAGCAACGCATTCTGCTCCACTCGGATCTCCCTCACCAGCAACTGCACACCAGGGAACGAAATCTTTTTCGGCGAAAGTCGGAAAATTTTCACTGACTTTTTCAAGTAGAGTTGGTTTCTTTGCTGGCACGTATCTCAAACCTCGCCCATCAGACTTTTCAAAACCCTGAGAAAAAAAACACGAGCTTCAGAATATTTTCAGAGAGAATATTTTTGCCGTACTTTTCTGGAATGGTTGGTTCTGTCTCTCCTCCCCCCTCTCCCCCTCCTCCCTCCCCTCCCCCTCTTCCATGACACTCGTCCCCTCTCTCCCTCTTCACTCCCCCACTCCCTCCCATGATGGGAGTGCCTCTTATTAGAGCCTACCACCCAGTGGTTGCGTTTCCCGCCTCTTTGCCGGGAAAACTCTTGATTTCCTCCACACACCCGACTTACATACCTACAACACACACAAAAGTCAGCAATATGAACACAGTTCTTGTTTTGTATAGCATATTGGCAAGCAAAGCCTAGTCGATTTTGTAGCCAGTATATACCTACTGCCTACGATACACACTGCAATTTCACACCCAATCACAAAAAAAACGTTTTGCTACTAACACTCCCATTTTTATGTAATACCTATAGAGTGGTGTGTCGGCAACATCTCCTTGCTGCTCCCTCTTTTCCTGCAGCTCCTTCTTTCGCAACACATTCACAGCAGTCGGAAAATTTCTGAAAGAAAAATTTTTAGCAAAATATTCACACGAAAACCAGTAAATTTACCTTTTTCTTTCTTGTCTCCATTTCGCAATGTCTTCCTTGCTCGTAAAGGTTAGTTCAGGTGGCAAGTAGTGGATCTGCCATACATACGTTTACAAGTCACATGACAATCATGTGATTTCAATGGCTTACAAGTTCATGATCATCCATGGCTCCTTTGCTGCATTCAAAATCACACTTAGAACACTGATGGATAGATAAGAGAGAAAAGATGTTGGCACTTTAGCCAGCCACGAGATGGAGCAACAACACCTTGACGTGGGTTGCTAGGTGAACGTCGTAGGTTTGCTGCGACTTGTACTCCTTGTGGCATGGACTACAGACGAACAGGGGCTGCCCCGTATTAGTTCCAGAATGGTAATTCTCTCTGGGAAGTTTCCTGTGGTGCCTTGTGTGCTACAAATACACAATAAGTTATCTGAAAATCAAAATATTTTTTTCTCACCTTTTTTGGGGGTCGTTTTGGGTAAGGTGCCCAGTGATGCGGGTCAGGTGAAAACTGAGGGGGCACAAAGAAATTCGGCCCCCCTGGCCCCCTCGGTATGAACTGCTGCGGCGGAATAAACGGACCTCCGGGTATAACAGGGGGAAGAGGTGGAAAACGAGGTGGGAAGTGTGGAAATAAGCTTCCCCGAGGGGGCGGCTGGGGTACAAGGAACGGATAAACTGGCGGGAGAAGCGGGCACACACCAGCGGGCGGTAGAAAGCCAGCAGGAGGAGACGCAGCTTGCATTTTTGGAGACCCACGTGGTAGATATTCGAACTTTGACCTGTTCTAAATTAGCGAAGAGGAAAATTTTAAATTTGCGGACTTTTGGCTACCAAAAATGGGGTCCTCCCGAATTATAGCGGGTGGGACGCCGCCGTCTTCATAGACGCGTGTAAGCTCTACAGACTCGGCACAGTCAGGCTAGACAGCAAGAAAGCAAGTATGGAGACCTTGGGTTACGAGAACGTGACGCCTATGGACACTGGCCCGCCTCCCCTACGAGGAGACGTGTGCGTCTTGGGCCGGAGATACAGCCTACCTGGAGGTTCGTTTCCTCATCCTTTCCGACTACTGGCGTCTTTCTCTCTCTGAATTCAAGTATGCTTTGTTATTCCATCGCTTCTGATACCGTCTATAGCGTCCAAAGTGGGGTATAGTTTATGATGCAACTAACTCAGGCTAATGAATACGGTAAACCAGACTGTTTTTCTAAAGTCTGACTGTGCTCTCGCTCTGCAGAAAAGGCGCAGCTGACAAGGGACGTGAAGAGCAGACTATGGTTCACATACCGAAAGAACTTCAAGCCAATTAGTAAGTGTTTAGCTCCAGAGTGGAACCTAATAATAAACACTCCCTGGGATCATTAGGATTGTCCTTTACTAACAGGGGTGCCCTTTATTTTGACACACCAAAGGGATAAGTAGCGGACCGAAACAAGTGTCTGCTATAGAGAGAGGTTTTATTCAGAGTGTCCATTATAGGAGACACCACTGTAGTCCTATTTTTGAGGAAGGGTGTGTCAAAGATAAATCACTCACTGTTACACTTACTTCACATTCACATTATAGAGAACGTTATCGTAATACGTAAGTATGCACTTAGACGTAGTGAGTGCACCCAGCCAATGCTTCCACTTTCATGTTGTATGTGATCATGAATGTTGCAAAGATGAATGGACAAGAAGTTGTACTAATAAATGTACTGATGTTGCAGGTGGTACAAGCATCACTTGCGATCAGGGCTGGGGTTGTACGCTGCGATGTGGACAAATGGTCATGGGCAACGCCCTCCTTTTCAAACACCTCGGGAGAGGCAAGTATCATGTGAATGTCACATGATCGTCAAGTGATCTTTATGCATACATTGTGCAGACTGGAAGTGGTCGGCTGATGGACAGCACTTGATGAACCCTACCTACATGAGGGTATGTTTTTACTCAACCACGGGGGTAGAGTTTCTGGCTAAACTAAATATGAGAGAATTAAACATGGAGGCTTCTATGGATATGTTGACCTAGCTGCGCATGCGTGTTTTTCTTTAACGTTTTTATAAGTTTGAATAGCTGCTGTCTTTCGATTTACTTGGCATTGTCACAATGCTTCCCTCCCTCTCTCTTCCTTTTGCATGTCCGTGTATATTATATCAACAGATACTCAGGATGTTTCTGGACAGGAAGGACAGCGAATACAGCCTGCACATGATCGGTGAGTCTGCCAGGGCCACCGCGTGAATGGAGCTCATGTCCTGTGTGTGTGTGTTGTGTATATGTCCTTTCTTATAAATCTCTTTCCCAGCTCATCAAGGTGCAGATTTTGGTCGACCTATAGGACAGTGGTTTGGTCCAAACAACGTGGCACAGGCTCTCAAGTAAATTCTTTTCCTCTCACTCTCCCTCCATCCCTCCCTCCTTCTCCCTCTTTCTTCTTATCTTCCTCTGTCCTCCCCTCTCTCGTCCTTTATTTCCCAGTGGACTATTCTTCAATCTTGCTCCAATTACAGGAAGCTCTCAACTCATGACTTGTGGTCAAAACTGGCAGTTCACGTTGCCCTGGACATGGTCGTTGTCATGGACGACATTAGTAAGCCCCTTCTAGCAAAAGATTACGATACCTAACATCTTTATGTGCACATGCATCAAAAAGTATGTCAGACATTTCTCCCTGAATATATATTACCTCTGTGTGTGTGTGTGTGTGTGTGGTACTTGCAGAGGAGTTATGTCGCCAACCTCACCAGACGCCGAGAGAAGTCCCCGTGGAATTAGCCGAGTGGGAAAAGAGGCGGAGCCAAACAACTCCGAACGTCTCTCTCCCTCCCTCTCTTTTGGACGGTCCCCAGGGGGACGCCCCTGAATCAGGGGGTCGTTCGGACGAACCCCTTCGGCGCCAACCCCACACAATTAGCGGGGCAGAGGGAACGAGACATGAAGTCAGAAGAGCGGGGAAGAAAGGGTTAATGAACGGAACGGAGCGTCCGAAGAGGTCGCCGTTTCAAAGACTGGCCGGCAGACGAAGAGGCAAGAAGGAAACTTTCATCAGGTCTGCCGATTTCGATCATGTCGGACAGAAAGACTCTTCCAGCTCAGATGAAGGCGACGATGATTGCGTCCCTGATGAAGTGGGCAGAGCCAAGGGGTCAGAGTTCAGATCCCTCTTGCTCTTCATTCCTCTACGTTTGGGTCAAGACAAGTTTAATATGGAGTACAAGGAAGCCGTAAAGGTGCAACATGATGCATGCATGTATATACGTCATGGCAAGGTTTTTGTTTTTCCACAGGCCTGTCTATCTCTCCCCCAATCAGTCGGGATAATTGGAGGAAAACCACGCCACGCCCTCTACTTTATCGGTCACCACGGCGACAACTTGTTGTACCTCGATCCCCATACCACCCAGTCGGCCGTGTCGTGTTCCGATACCTCTGGAATGGTCCCGGACCACAGCTACCACTGCAGCCAACCCGACCGAATGAACGTCGGCGAACTCGACCCTTCTGTTGCTCTGGTAGTTGAAAACAGCTTCTATTTTTAGTAGCTGGTTACATCATCATTATCAAAATGCAGGCGTTCTTTTGTAGAGATGAAAGCGATTTCCATGATCTTTGTCGAGGCCTCAGAGAGGTAGGTCTCATGTCACATGACCTGCTATTGTGGATCACATGACATACTGTTGCATGTCACATGACTCGCAGAGCGTCCTGACCAAGATGAAGTACATGTTTGAACTGACAGAGAAGAGGCCTCCTTACTGGGGACCTGTGGAGAGAAATCCTCACAACAGCATCCACGAACGTAAGGAAACACTAACAGAACAATTATGATTTGCAAGTGGAGATTGCTATGTAAAGCGTTTTTCAAAACTTCACAACCTTAAACTTCCAACCAGAAATAAATGGTTTTTTTCTTTTTTTCACTGGATAAGCTGCTGCATAACACGTAAAATTGAGCGTAACACGTAAAATTGAGCATAATTTGTGGGGTAATATTTTTGGGTCTTGTTTTCTGCAGCATTCCTGCTGGTGAACCAGGCTCCACCTTCCCCCAAGTACACGTGTGAAGAAGACTCTGATGGTTTTGAGGTCATTGACTATGCCTAGCAATCATGTACCTCCCTCCCTCCCCTCTCACTCTCCAATTTCTTATCGTTTGTTGCTTTGAATAAGTCACCATTTGAGTTTGCACTGTTATATCATATACTCCTCATAAAGTTTGTGTTTAACGTTGAAAGAAAGGTGTTGGGTTTTGAAATTATATTACAACACAGCCAGCTCCTTTGTGTTCATAACTTTTGTAAGCATTGATCAATAAAAGAAAGGTGTTTTGGTTTTGAAATTATACACGGTGAAAGATTGTTAGCTGGAAGTTCAAAGTCCTAGTGATTTCCGGACCAATTTCTGAGCCACTGCGTTGAACTGTGACCTGTCGTCTCTCCACATCTTCTGTTTAGAATTTAGAGCAGAATAATGCTGTCACACCATATCCCAGGTATCAAGTTTGTCTTGTGAACTCGTGGTTCTACATAATGCTCTCACACAAAATGTGGAGAGCTCCCTCGATCCCTTATAGTAAGTTTCCAAACTATTTACACAATGCTTCGTTCAAAACTTACTATATACTTACACAAGCATCAACCGTTTCGTTCAAAACCTACTACTTACACAAGCATCAATGCTTCGTTCAAAACTTACTACTTACACAAGCACCAAAGCTTCGTTCAAAACTTACTACTTACACAAGCATCAACGTTTCGTTCAAAACCTACTACTTACACAAGCATCAACGCTTCGTTCAAAACCTACTACTTACACAAGCATCAATGCTTCGTTCAAAACTTACTACTTACACAAGCACCAAAGCTTCGTTCAAAACCTACTACTTACACAAGCATCAACGCTTCGTTCAAAACCTACTACTTACACAAGCATCAACCGTTTCGTTCAAAACCTACTACTTACACAAGCATCAATGCTTCGTTCAAAACTTACTACTTACACAAGCACCAAAGCTTCGTTCAAAACTTACTACTTACACAAGCATCAACGTTTCGTTCAAAACCTACTACTTACACAAGCATCAACGTTTCGTTCAAAACCTACTACTTACACAAGCATCAACGTTTCGTTCAAAACCTACTACTTACACAAGCGCCAATGCAAACCTACTACTTACACAAGCGTCGATGTTTGCACCACTCTCGTCGTTTGGCTCGGCCAGCATGCTCACGACCGACAGCAGAATCTTCTCAATGCTCTGCACCGGGCTCCACCTCTCTGCAGCGGTCTCGTATCCCAGAGGATCGTCCCCCGGTGTGTGGAGAATAGAGATACAAACACGACCATCCGGATACACTACGCAGTGGTGGAAATTCATAGCAACACATACAGTACGTCAGTGCAATCTGTTAATGTTACGAACTAGCAACATACACAGTACATTAGTAACACAAGTTAGTGCGATGCACATGTGTGCCAGCTTTCATCGCAGGCATAAACGCTACTTTTGATGTTTTACCGTTTGGATGGAACACTTCCGAGACGAATTTCATTTTGGGTGGACTGAGAGGATAGTCAGTAGGGAAGATGAGTTCCGTGACAAAGACCCCTCCTTCAAATGCACAGTCTTCTGGTCCCCTTTTTGATCGAGAGGTGAGGCATGAAAAATCGTATTTTACGGCAGCAATACTAACGTACTAACCAGCTAGCTATGTAGGTAGAGGCTCACGTGATAAGTGCCTCCCATTCAAAGAAGTTTTCCTCTGATTTGGGTCCTCCAGAAAAAATCCATAGCTAAACGTCTGAGTCACGTGAGTACAAGCTAATGACTGTCTTACCGGCCACTATTCCCTCGGGAGAGTTCAGCGTCAACTCTGTGTAAATAGAGCGATAGGAAACGGTAACTGCTAGCCCGTGAGGCGAAGTACGAGAGCTACGTACGCTTGTATTCTGCCAGTAGTCGCTTCAGTGCAGAACCAGCCATTTTATCGTTGGTCGCATGCGCATGCGCAATAATTCAACTCCATTTAGAGCGCACCTTTAGGGGTGGAGCAAGAAATCTCTCAAAAGCAAAAGGAGGCGGAAAGAGTCGGCGCTATCATGACGAGACGGAAGAGAGAGTCAGCGAACAAGATGGACATGAGTTTAGGTGGGCACTTCTAGCGCTGCAGCGTCCACCGTCACGCAGCTTGCGTTCACTTCTCGCGCGGCGTGTTTTTCCAGATGACATCATAGCAATGAACAAGAAAACGAGAGGGGGTCGTGGCAGAGGGAGAGGAGGAGCCCGCGGAGTCGGCCAGAAACGACCTTGGAACCGCCAGGCACAAGTCAGTAGCTCTACAAGAAGATCGGACATTCTTTAGGAGCACCTCCAAATAAGGACACCTTTTCTTTCCCCGAGAATGTGCATTTTAACCCCTGACATAATATGGGGAATGTTATAGGCTTATAGCATCGTACTGTGCTGAAATCACATATCTCTGAGCAGAAACCTCACTAAGATGGACACTTTCTTCTGCCCCATTGGTGTTAGAGGGTTCAGCTGTAATGAGAGAGAGATACAGGGCTGAGCACAATTCCCCCTTTTATAGACTGGACAGACAAGTGGTGGAGGAGGAGGAGGTGGTGTGAGTGCTCGACAGCAGAGGGTCCAGCAGATTCAGCGGAGGGCTCGGATGACGGTCCTCCGAAAGAGGCTCGGGACGGGACCGAAACCTGTCGTCTCTTTCAGTGTGGGGAGCAGAGCTGGTTCCAGTGGAAGAGGGAGGGGGAGGGGGAGAGGGAGGGGCTGGCAGGGACGGCAAGAGGAAACCGTGGATGATGAGTTTGTTGAGCCGTCAACTTCAGGTGGTTCTGCAGTTGGGAGGGGGAGGGGTAGAGGGAGAGGGAGGGGCAGAGTAATTTTGGGGCGTGGTCGGGGAAGAGGAAAAGGGATTGGCCGTGGAAGAGTTGCCACGGAGACTGGTCCTGGTTCCAGTCCAGCTCCGAGACCGGGTTCCAGACTGAAGATAATCCGTGGTCTGAAGGGACGAGGAAAGACCATCATTGCAATCAGGAGACGCCTCTCAACCGGTAGTCTGAAGCAGCAGTTGGCAACCACACCCACCAGTGGGCGTGGCCGATCACGTGGGCGCGGAAGGGGGCGTGGCAGTTTCAGTGCGGGATCTACTCCAGTGGCTGGCCCATCTGAAACGACCACACCCATCAGAGTCTCTGTTGCCAAGGAGCAGACAGTGAGAAACAAAGCTTATGCCAGTGGATGTGGTCACGTGACCATCACGTGATTCTATTGTTTACAGTTTGAACCAGTGGGTGTGGATCTTTCGCCAAATTTCGGAGCTACGCATCACGTATGTGGAGAATTAATTGTGTTTATGGTGGAGAAAATTTACCGTTCCTTCCGTTCTTGTTGCAGACGCAGAAATCCCTCAATGCCCGGTTCTCCCAGTCTCCACGCTCACATGTTCAGAGAATGGTTATGACTGATGGACGCAATGTCCAGTACAGCTAATTATGCATATAATATTTTCCCCTTGCTCTCTCTCTCAACCATTTCGTGCACCACCCCACACCTTAATTGCACTACATTGCAATTGTACAGTGTCACTTGCTTATTATTAACCCTTTTCTCACTGTCACTAATACCGTGGAACTATAATTATAGCCACACCATCATTTTCTACCAGCAGAAATCTCCACATAATAATAAAAACAATGTCACAAATTTTTTCCTGCAAAAAGTTAATTTCCCAGAATGGTGTCAATGTCTTGCACAATGTTCTTCGTTTGCCTGAGAGCATCTTTAACAAACGGAGGAAATTCTGGTTGGCCACACCCCTCATTTAGCTGGCCACACCCACCAATCCCCTGTCGATTTGAGGGAGTAAGCTGGTGTGTCATAATAGCAGTGAATCTCTCAATCTTTGACAGTTCCGCCAACACTTCTCTAAAAGAGAAAAGGAAAAAAGTAGTGCATGAAAAATGGTCTTACCCATTGCTATATACTGTATGAACCTCTGAAAAATGGACCCTTTGAATTCTGTCCCAAACTTACATTGAATATTGATCACAGTACACAGTTTATCATCTTTACCAATCCAAAGTTCCAATTTACCTCTGTGTGTGCTGGTCATAGATGGTTCTCTGGTAGAACTCTCCTCCCCCGTCATCTGGTCTACTGGCCAGCCACTCACACCAGTCTCTCACTATCTCAATATACCTACGAAAAGCGATCGCATTTGCACAATGAGACGATGCAAGGCAAAAGCAATGACTCTTTGAACAACACGACGACTCTTTGAACAAATATACTGTAATAGTCGGTAGCACAACAGGTGGGTATATACTATAATTATCTGCACCGAAAAAACCACATCTCAACAGACCTGTGGTGACTGGTCGGATGATGTGTGGAAAGAATGAGATACCGTCCGTTTGGTTGAAACAGTCGGCACCAGTTTTGGTCCACCCAGACCCCCCTTGCCACCTCTACCCCCCGCCCCCTGTCAAACCCAGGGGGGCAACTGAAATTTAATCCAGACCCCCTAGAAGTGAGGTCAGGGGTCTCATTTTCCCGATTCAGGTCAGTTTTTGATGTGTTAAAGAAATCGACTATTGTTCGGTCAATGAAGACACATCTCACATGGCCATTGGTGCGAACAGTGAACCTCCCGAGGCCTGGTACAGTGTAGTGAAGGGGGGAAGAGGGAGGGGAGGGGAGAGGGGAAGGAGCCTAGAGGGGAAGACCCTATAATTAAGACAGTCCGAGTCAAAATTTTACTCACCTTCCAGCATAGTTTGACATTGGACGCTCCTACTTTCCGTACCCTGTCGAGCAACCTGCATGCATATAAGACACCGTTCTTTAACAGAGCTATCGTTAAAAAAACTAAGTCACGTGATTGTAATGCGATGTAAAAATTGCACACCTCGATGCCTGGCCAATCACCCCGGCGATGCTGAATGGGTGGAGTCCAGACGCCAAGGGGGTGTGGTCAACACAGTACATGCTCTCTTGGACACACCTACTTCCGTCATCGTCCACACTCCAGCAATGGAAGAAACGACCGTCTGGATCATATGACCTTAACACTGTCATCTGATTGGGCAAAGCCTCTACAAATGGTTGTTGATGGTCGAAAAATGCCCTATATGGTATATACATAATGTCAAAACGTTTTTATCTAAAAAAATTACCCACCGATAAAGTACTCCTTCAGTAAATAACACCTTCACCCTGAGAGTCTGTAAAAAAACAGTACAAGAAAACCGAATTTTCAAGCTAAAAAATTATTGTGGATCAGCAGTTGTCCCCTACAAATTCCGTAGAGTATAATAATTATACCTGTTGCTGGGTGTGGTGGAGATGTGGATGAAGGCAAGAGAGAGGGAGAGTGGAAGGAAGAGCAGTGGACACCACTGCATCCTGTCTTTCATTCTCCTTGTCTGCGTTATAATACAGTATTGGGAATTTTTGTTATATTGAATTGAGCGATACCTGGAGTGGTGGTGGTCATGTGAGTGTCATGTGACCTGTGCTGCATCAGCAGTGATAGAGGGTGGGCCCAGGCACGAGGAGTCTTTGCTGTACTGTGGATCTCTCTCCTCCAGACATACTGATGACGAGTCTTCTACAAAAATGGAAATCTGTATCTTTCTCACCCATCTCCCTTCTCTCTCTATCTCTCTCTCTCCCTTCTCTCTCTATCTCTCGTAAAGTCATTCTTTACCACAGCGAAACGTATGAAAAAGGACCCCTTGAGCCTCTCTATAAAGAACACCTCTCTTCTGCCCCTTACTAATACATTAGTGTACTTAATAAATACCTCTGAATAAGGGACACCTCTGGATATAGGACACTTTCGATGTCATTGTGTCCTTTACTGGTCACCTGTCCCTCTTATATACCAACATACCTCACTTCCTTGCTCTCTGCTAGTCTCAGGTGTTGTCAACCCATTCTCCAAAACCTCAGTCTCCATCACACCAGACAGGCCAACTCTATCACCACAGGACAGTCTTGCCAGGTAGCAAACGGTGAGTGTCTGCCCGTGAGAAGCCAGCTCAACCCACGCACAGCCGTCACTGGACTGAAAACGTATTTCTCCCGCCAAACCTGTTTTAAACAGGTTACATCCAACAGCTTGCTGTTGGTTTGACGGCCAAACTCCATAGTCTATTGCGTTCTCTGACACCTGTATAATATAAAAAAGACTGTTAGGTTTGGAAAAAGTGTTGAAAATTTTTACTTGCCTTTATTTCGTTGGTGAATAAGGTAGCTGGGAGAAAGGGTTGCTCTGCAAAGAGGTTCCTGAACGCTAGGAGCGTGCAAACTCTCTCTCGGCACTCCTTCGAGGCGTAAGCCGTGAACTGGTGAACGGTGGAGGAGGTGGAATGAGAAGGTAAACGTCCGAATGGATCTGGACCCTTTTTTGCCTTTTCCTGGCGCGTGAAAGCGCTCCCGCAAGCAGTGAGACAGATGCTGGTGCCGTCTGTGAACCAAGCTTCCACGGAGTCGTCCTCATACTGCTCCAACCTGGACACACAGTCCATATCCAGGTTCAAAACTGCCGCCATTTATTCTCTCACGCCTCCCCGTGAAAATTTATGGATACCCTAAATAAAATTTATCGGCTAAATGACCACGCCCCCCAACGAGAGACTTTACTTACACGTGTACACACACGTACACACACGTACACACACGTACACGTACACAGAATCAGAAGAAGGGTGTGTTTCGCGGTCGCACAAAAAACCAATCTCCTCCAGACCTTCTCAGGGAATCAGTGAAGTACCAGACACGGCCGGTCATGTCAGCGTCTGCTGATTTCAACAATCCGTTGAGGAAATTTAAGCTCGTCTTCCTGGGAGAGCAGAGCGGTAAGTCTGACAGAGAACCGGTTGAGAAGAAACAAAGTCAATTGAACTCCGTACGTCTAGCGTGCGGAGTCTTTCGTTGCGACGCAAGGGCCTTGCGTGCGGTGGAGCGCTTGGCGAGTGCATTTTGTTTTAGCAATGGTGGGCATTTATTGGAATCCTGCACTTTCTCTCAGTGGGGAAGACGTCGCTGATAACCAGATTCATGTACGACAGTTTCGATTCCACGTATCAGGTCAGCCTTCAGTACACCTTAATTCGATTGGTGTGTGCATACAATTGTAAAATGTCCCATTCTTCAGGCAACGATAGGAATCGATTTCCTATCGAAGACCATGTACCTCGAGGATAGAACGGTGAGTTTTTCGCTGGGTATTTGGCAGCTGTGGCTCCCTCCCCCTCCCCCTCTCATTCAGACCTCACACACTCCCCTCCTCCTCCACACCCCACCCTATATACTCACCTTTGTCTCTGTGATATCAGCTGCCAAATTCGTGATTTTTGGATTACATCGTGGCAATGTCATTCCAGGTTCGTCTCCAGTTGTGGGACACTGCGGGACAGGAGCGGTTCCGGAGCCTCATTCCCTCATACATACGAGATTCCACCGTTGCCGTGGTCGTGTATGACATCACCAGTAAGCCAGTGACCTACCCTCAAATCTTGTGTGGTACAGTGAGGGTGAGAAGTAGCTCAAAAACATGCGAAAACCATTAGACCTTTTCTCTATGAGAACACCTCACCCATTGGTGTCTTGGTTAAAGGGGTTTCGACTGAGTACTAACAACTGCACACACCTTGCTATGTATGATCTCATCCACCTCTCGTCACTAGATGGCAACTCGTTTCAACAAGTCAGTAAATGGATAGAAGACGTGAGGGCAGAGAGGGGCACCGATGTCATTATCATGCTCGTGGGGAACAAAACTGACTTACAGGTATAATACTTTCACCATAATTATGTGTGTGTGTGTGTGTGTTTGCAAATTTCAGTGCCTCATGGCATGGCTGTTTTGCTCGGTGAAAGGTTCTTGTTTGCAAACGGCGTTTTTCGCCCTTTCACCATTTTCAGAAGGCTATTCCTGAGTAAGCGAAAACTTTTATCTGTCTCAAAGAAATATTTCCTGGGTTGCTTTGTCGATAGCACCCCAAACTATGAAAAATAGTTACCTGTTGTAATGTGTCTGATGGCCGCAGGACAAGAGACAAGTATCGATGGAGGAGGGAGAGAGACGGGCAAACGACCTCAACGTCATGTTCATTGAGACGAGTGCAAAGGCTGGCTACAACGTGAAGCAGCTGTTCCGTCGAGTGGCAGCCGCCCTCCCTGGGATGGAGAGCACCCAGGACAAGCAAAACAGAGAAGACTGTATCCTTCACTCCTCCCACTTTCCTTCACATTTTGTGTCTCATGTGTGTGATGACTTTGTTCAGCAGTGTACACCGTGTCTTTATGTCTCAGCACTGTGTTAAGTGGTGTCAATGGTGTCGGCACTGTGTTAAGTGGTATCAATTTGTCTCAGTGATTTTAGCACTCTATGTGGTGTGTCAGTGGTGTCCCATGTTTCAGCGCTGTGTTAAGTGGTGTCATTGTGTGAAGTATGTCTCTATGTGGTCAACGTGTGCTTGTACTTATGTCAGAACGTGTTGAGTGGTATCAAAGTGTATTAAGTGGTGTCAATGTGCGTCTGTGAATCAGTAATAGGCCTTAATTCTGGGTCTCAGTAATAGAGGTTCGACTTCAGGAACCCACCACCACTCAATCAGAAGAGAAGCAAGGCTGCTGGTGCTAAATATAGAAACATTACCTCACAATGACATCACCTGCCACACCCCTATTGATATTATGGCAGTGTACAGTGTGCACACAGACGTTTTTATGGTTGTGTCCAAGTTTTACAACTGACAGTGGCATCATTGGCAATTATTGTACTCAATACAGCATAATCACAAATATTTTGATAATCTGACATAGGCAAAAACATAATTTTATTACTGTGAGATACACATGTGTGTATGATAATAATAGTCAGTGAAGTGTAAAGCAGGTATATATATATCTACAAGACCCTTGACTGAGTGTTGTGCAGCTATCATAGTACCGACTGCTCAAGAGTACCACTATGACCAAAGACCATCAGAATGCAGCTGCTGATGATGAGCACTAAATAGAACCCCACCACCACCACTTCACTTTTTCAATGTATATATGCTCATAACAACAGAATTATCAGGTTGGGTTTTTCAGGAGAAAGATTGTAATGATGTAGTCATGTGAGTGGTAAATGTCATGTGACAGTGGAGGAGGTGTCCATTGGAGCCACACCCTGTCGTTGCATGGCTTTGACAGCCCCTCCCCCTAGGCCCCCTCTATCCTCATCGAAGTCCATCCTGAAAAAAGAGAAAAGGAAGGAGCGGCGAAAAGATGGTACAGTAGAGAAGGATGGGGACAAAGTAGCAGATATGAAAGCAGAAAAGAGCCAGTGTTTTATAATACACCCTTGCCTGTAGTCATCTCTGACTTGACCTCCCGACCTCCCCCTCCCATACTGCCTCCCCTCAATGAACCCCATGTCCCAGTCTGCCCTAATGATTCTGTTGTCCAGCTTTGTTCCACTGATGTACGCTATGCCCTTGGCAGCCGAGTCGTGAGAGTAATACCTGTTGCTTCGTCAGGGTCAAAAAAAACTTACGCAGTAACTAAAAGCTGTATACCATGGGGTTAGATTTTTATGCATAAACCTCTTGGAAAGCTGGTAGTATAAGGCTATGATACGATGCAACTTTCTCGCGTAAGACAACCGCAAGAGAGGGCATGTGCATGCACGTAATAGAAGTGCTAAAACGAGGGAGTTTTGTTGGATACTCGATAAAACAGAATCCACACGGCGTCTTCTTGATTCGATCCAGACCCATGATGATCCGCTTCACCTCTCCGCACATGGAGAACAGCTCGTACACCTGCTCCTCGCTCGAGAAGAAGGACATGTTCCCGACGTACAGCGTGGAGCTGCTGCGCAGTTTTCCCTCATATTCCTCGGTCGAAAGCTACGAGAAAGAGAGGTCCTATGCTCAGTGCATATATACAGGTGTGTCTTTTCTTGACTAACTCCGGCCTTGTGGTCTCTGTACTGACTCTTGGGCTTTCGGCCACCCCGCTCCACCATGCTAAGCTGCTGTCGTACGTTTTACGTGCGCATGCGCCCAGCGCGCCAGTACAGTCTTTCGCGCTATGAGGAACGCCTACCAAGTACTCAGTTGGCATGTGAAAATTATTGATCACGTCTACCAGACTATATACCATACAAACTGTGAACTACCGTAAAGCCAGTTCAAGTATGTGGTCAATATAATAATCTACAGCAGGAAAGAGGCTTGCCCTCTTGCAGCCTAATGCTACATTCTCATCCCCTCGTTAGGGTCGGCAATCTGACGGTATATGATGGAGTCTCTTCCGGGATCCATCGTCCACATCATCCAGCTCACTGCATGGCCACAGAAAAAACCATTATAATATTATACAAGCATCATATAAATAGCAGCACACTTTTGGTGAGTGAAAGAAGTCGAGTAGTTCAATTGTTAGCACATGTATTCAGAATCATTACGGTATATATATACATGCAGTGCCTATCATAATAGCAACTAGGTAGGCTTACCGACTGTATTTATGGGGCCAAGATTTACGATATTAATCGAACTAGAAGACAATATCAACCTGCATATACGGCAAGACCGAGACTGAGACCCAGGAATAGGGTGATGAGAAAAATGGCGGCGAAACCCTCCGATCTCCCACCGTCCACGTTACCCAGGGTGATATTAGCAGTGACGTCATCTCTATAGCCATCCTCCTATATACACACGCCATCCACCGACACAAATAGAGATCTGTGGCGAAAAAACTTGAGAACTCACGTAGCCATCATCGACATTGTTATCGGCATCCCGGACGTATCTTGATTCAGTCCAATAATTGGTCTCTGGACACTTTACCTGCACAACAGTAATAGAATAAAACTCATCACAGATTAGGGTATAATATTATAGTCAGTTTGTTGTACAATGCTTTAGCACAATGAAAACCATCACCATGGTAAACGGAGCTATTAGCTAATTTTCCATTCTGACAGTATATAAATCTTACGAAAATGAAAAGTGGAGGTTTGTAATAAAGCCACATACCTTGAAGGAAGGCCCAAGTGCCTTCTTCAGGTTGAAGCACAAATAAGGACTCTCAATAGCGTCCTATACAGATGTAATAATACACACCAGTTATTGGCCACATAATAGACAGTTCTACATTATCAACTGCTCGTTAACTGACGGGCTTCAAGTTGACTTGGGGAAGATCCGACTTGAAATCTTCAAAACTCTGCAGTGCATGTACAAGTTTTAGTAAGTCGTGGTTACAAAAAGCAACAGGTAATGCTTTACAGGTGAAGCAAGGTGTGGTTTGAGAAGGTCGTGGGCTTCCGCAAGGCTCTCAGAGCTCGGTCCCTCTCTGACGTAATGATGACATCATCCTAATTGTGATTAGCATGGGAATGGGACTCACGGGAAGTTCCATTCTAGTACCAGAGCCTGGACCAAAATCTTTCCGTCATACAAACCCACAAGATCCTTAGTCACCTAAAAATATTTTATTAATAAGTATTTTTTTAAAACAATATTTATATACCTTTTGGATGGTTGATTGGACAAGCTTGGTTGCCACTAAGACCTTTTCCGACCCCACTCCATACTTTAGTTCCAGGGCCTGTTGGAATGGAAACATGGGGATGAATACCTCGCAGAATGGGAACGAAACTCTTACCCTTATCGTGGAGATTGTGAATATGTAAATATCGGGAGCTCCGTCATTTGCGTAGTTCTTCAATTCTTTCAGCTTTAAAAATATTACTTTGAAATGAGAATAGATTGATTTTTGCTCTATATACCTGCTCCATTGTTTGGTGGATCATGAAAAGCTCGGCCAAAAGTGCCACATCTTCGTCTGTTCCGACATCCAAACCTTTGGTCTCCAGTCCGTACGGAACCAAGACACTGCTATCTCCACGTATCATCTTCACCTACGTACAACACAATTCACTGGTGAAAACCTTGGGTTTTTGGGTGTAAATCTTGGTTCGAGGTGACTTTTCTGTGTTCACCGTTTGTCGTAATATTATGCATTCTGCAGGACTTATCTACTTTCTTTCTTTTACTTCATGAAAATAAAAATGGATTGGAAGCTATGGAAGTAGCAGTATAATTCAATATGCACAAAGAGAATGTGTCTATAGAACCCCATTCAGACAGTATTCAGAGACAGTATTCAATAGTAATGTTGACGAACATGCACACACACAGTGAGTTGAATGGGTGTTGGGACATAGACTGAATGCAGCAGAACACCACTAGATGTAGTCACTCACTGTGTCAGTGAACTGGTCTCCTCCCGAGAATGAGCCTTCAGCTGAACCTGCCAAGGCAGCCTGTAACAGATAAGATGTTCCAGTAAGCAATCTCTATAATCCACACAGAATAAAGTGTCTATGAAAAAACATGTTTATAGCATACTAGCTAAAAGAATAATATCATATTAGAGAGGTTTCCTTATTTGAGGGGTCAGAAAAGGTCTCCTTATTAGGGACGTGTCCTCATTTCAGGAGTTGAAGATTTTTTGGTCTCACTTGTTGGTCTGCGCTGATGCTGCGCGTCTGGCAGCGTCCGTCGAAGATTTTACTCATGTGAGTGGCAACATTGTCTCCGGAAAACATAGTCTGCATGTCGAGACTTGTGGAGCCGGTCAGGCCACTCTGGAGGGAGGTGAGGGGAGAGAAGGAGGGAGGGAGAGTAAAAGTGGCACATACAATTTATACCCAAAAGGCCTCTAAATTTTACACTTCCTAAGTCTTATAATTAAATACCTGGTCGACAGTAAACTTTTTCTCGGAGAGAGACGCGATTGCTCCTGTAAGTGAAAGACCCGTAAAAATGTGTTGATGGTCGAGTCACATACCTGAGGAGACACCATCCACGACAAAGAGAGCGGTAGCATGGGGTCGCGAGAACAGGCTTCCCATTTGTACTCCAGCCCAACGAGCTCCATCCTACACCCACATAAAAAACCATCACACACACACACACACACAACACTATAACTATACGGTACTCTAAGGACCTCCATCCTAACATGCACAGGGATTATTACACAAGCAGCCAGCTCGATACCGCACACAGTGAGCCCAACATTATTGTACCAACAAAGTGAATAATTGTGCAGGGCATACTGTATACCCTTAGGATTCCGAGTGTTTTGAGCATAATGTTGGATACGGCAGTGGCAGGGAAAGCAGAGGTCGAACCACTGTCCTCAGCGAACGTGTCCTGATAGTCATTGAGAATGTAGAATCCAGAACTGGAAGAAGACTGAGGAGAGAGGATCACATAAGTCTTTTGATCAGAGATATGAAGTTGCCAGAGAGGGGGCCCACCTTGGCCATGAGGTGGATCTCCCAGCTGGTTTCGCCAGTCAGGCTCCAGCACCCTAGAATGCCTGATGAATAAGGTAAAACACTCAAACAACATGGGGGAGAAGAGAGCCGGCTGTGTAGGTGACTCACCGAGAACTAACAGAGGAAGAACGATTCTATGGGCCGCCATTGCGTGCAAAACTCTTCGCCGACTCCTTCTGAAAAACGTTTGACGAACAGAATCACCGAAACAAGTGTTGCTGCCTTCTTTTTTTGTGAATCGTCAAATTTTGTCGTGTCACGCGAGCGTCACGAGGTCTTACTTTTTAAATATTTCTTTCGCTGAATTAGGAACAAAATCCCACGTTCCGACCCGCCCCACACTTCTCGCGAGCTGACCAACGATGGTAGTCAGAAGAAAGATGGTGGCCCTGCATAAGTCTTCTCCATGTCTCTGAGCGGATTCTCCAGCGCCCCTCTGGGCAAAGATCCCCGTCTTTTCTGCGAAGGGGATCAGTACAGAGCCAGAACTGAGGCTGTAGCAACGTCAGACGGCGGGTTCTTGCGCGGCCCCGTCGACCGTCGATTTCAAACGAACGGGAAGATGCCGCCGCATATTACTTACAGGTAAATTGCCTCTGGGCAGCGTTATTTCTGAAACTGTATCAAACTCGAAGAAGGTTCGTTTTCTTCACAATTTGGATTTCAATTAGCTTTGCTGATAAACTTCCCTAATTATGTGAACAATTTACTTATGCTGTGATGTCTTTCTTGAGATTTCGATAATCTCTCTCTTTACTGATTCAAGCCGTGCGTCTTTATGAACCGTTTTGGAGTGTAGTATCACAGAGTTCTCATGAAGCTATGTAGCCAGCCTAGTAAAAAAACGGCTAGAAAACGTAGTATAGCCTGCTCTTATGCTTCCTTTTTCAAATGAGACGTCAGTGAAATGTAACTAGTATAGGTCTTGAGCTTCCTTTTTCAAATGAGACGTCAGTGAAATATAACTAGTATAGGTCTTGTGCTTCCTGTAATTGAAAGCCATCAGTAAAATATGGATATACTTTTTAGTATTTCATGCTCTAGCTGACACTTTTCTAAACGAGGTTGTGTAGCTACATAATTTCAAGATCAACAAACTCATAAATCTTTAAAAACTGTGGCTCTAGCTATGAGCTATAGTAAACTGAAATGATGTGGATTTGCGAACAGTTTTTAATTGCGTGTGTGTTGCTTCATTAGTAGAGATGGCAGAGAATGGCATACTAGCAACACACCGTCAGAGCATTCTGGGTATCGTTCAATGGGACATCCCGTTAATGTCCCGAGTCATCATATGATTGATCCCTATGGCGGTGGATATCACGCAACTGGACATCCCAGCGATGTTCCGATACAGCATATGAATGATGCCTACCCTCCTTCTAGTCACTATGATGATCCATTCATGTCTGGACATCCCAATCATGATCCAAATTCCTACCCATCTTCAAGGGATCCTGAAATTGGGTATCCTCATTCTGGGCGTCCATTTAATCGACACTCTTCTCTGGAACATCCGAGTAATGCCCCAGGTTCTGATCTGAGCCAATTAAATGACATTCATTGGCAAAACGGCTTCGCAGATGAGGTTTGCTTTTGTAGTAGCTATATACATCACACAATGTTTACTCAATTTTTACTCATGTTCCTCTCAAAATTCTATAGTTGTCTTCGAGACACTTACAACCTTCTTCATCTTCGACTGTTCATCCGCCATCTTCCCATCACTCCAACGGGCCTTTTGCTTCTCGGTAAAATTCATCTCTTCTCTCATGTGTAGGAGTTGAGTAGTCACATTTTTTCTCTAGTGATTACTGGCGGGGAATGAAACCACACCCACCTCAAGACCACACCCACAGGCCACCGCCACACCAAGTACATGTGAGCCACGTGTTTATACTTTTCCTTAAGCTGTGTGTGTGTGATTGTACACAAGGTCAGTTGGTGGTGGTCAGGTTTTTTAAATATATGTATGTGTGATTGATAAATCTCATACACAAGGTCAGAACGTTAGAGCTTTGAAAGGTATATGGGGTAATTGTAGGTATTGTTAACGGAAAACGACCCAGTGAGTCAAATCAACTAACGTTGTCCATTCTTACTTTGTCATATGCAGTAATTACTTCTGAATAATTGTGTGAAGTCGAGCTTATACGTTGATAGTGGTTTAAAACTTTTCCTTCTAGTTATTTGATGATTATTATAGCACATTTGACAATAGTGTAAATTCCCTCAGGATGGAGAGCCCGCTCATTACCGTCAGCCTCAGCCAGACTCCAACTACAGAGTGCAGAGCTCCAACTATAGACCTGCTGGACCAGAGACCCACCATAATTTCAGATCCGACAGCCCTGCTGCTCACGGCCCTGAGCCAGGAGGAGGAGGAGGAGGAGGAGGAGGCAGCTACTGGAGGTGCTCTGGAACAAGAGACAGAGTCCCTGTCTCCAGACCATCACAATGGGAGACCGGTGACCCCAGATCATCTCTCCCACAGCGGAGATCCTCAGAGTCTAACCAGAGAAAGAATTTCATCAACACTACCCCTGAAGACTGGTATGAACAGAGAGAATGAAAGCCATGGAGTTGATTTTTAAATTTTTTTCCTAGGCGGCATAATCATATTTCTGTTGACAGAAATGGAGCGTCTTACTCACCTTCAATTTGTGAGTGAATTTGTATTGTCTTATATACTATAGCAGTGAAAAAGCCGATATGGTTGGCGATACCTTGCTGAGTTAGTAGGTGAAGCTTAGAAAGGGCATGATAATCATGGAGAGCCTAGCAGTTAGGTGAGGATTATTTCATTGTGGCTTGCATGGTGTATAGTTTATGGGTGTGTCAGAAAATTGCTTCATGACTAGAGTGTAATCAGCCCTTGTATGCTAAGAAGAGCCTTGCAATAACAGTGAATATGTACAACTATAATTATATAGCCTCTCAGTCTTCTTGGAGCCCTGGTTTTGAGGAGACAGGTAGCAGTCCGAGACTTCGAATGCCACAGCCATCTCCCTCAACTCCCAGCGATTATAACAATGCTGCGCCAGAGTTCCACGTCGATTCTTACCACCACCAGCACCATCCCCACTATCACAATGAGCCTCCTCCATTTGGTGCCCCTCATAGTCAGGTGGGGGGGTTCGATAAGGAGAGGAGAGAATCGGGGCTTCTGAAAACACCGGATGGTGGGAGATTACCAAGAGTTGCGTCATCTCCGGTACATGGAAGGGGAGGAAAAGTCGGCAAAGAAGAGCGAAGATCAACGTGCCCGAGAGGTCCACCCTATCATGACAGGAGAGCAGCCCCTGCAATTATTAATGGGGTAATTGTGGGCCCAGGTCATTATTTGAGAGATCCGAGACAGGCAGGTTTCACCAGGAGTCAACGAGACTGTAAGACTGTTCTTCAGGATCACTCTTACTCCAAGGAATACCGTGAGGGCTATGAAGACCACCCCCGGTTTCAGCGGATCGAACCATGCAGCACGCTGAGCCCCGATCTCCTAACGGAGCTGAAGTCATCCGCAGCCAAAAAAGGCAAGGCAGCTCGGAGAACTCCAAAAAACGAGTGTTCGACAGTTTCAAATCATTCCGAATCGCCGACCAGCTCTGCAGAATCGTCGTCCAGAGTGGAGCAAAAACCTACTGAGAGTGCTGGATCAGATAGTCCTGGCTCATCTTCAAACAAAATTGAGCAGGGCACACGCAACACTAGCAACCCAGAGAAGCGGCCAGTTTTACATTCTCTCGACAAATGTGGCACAAAACCGAGTGGGACGGTAAAACCAATCGCCAGGGTTAGACCCACCACCACCACGGCAAGCAGCTTGGGGAAACAGCCACCATTACCGGAATCAACAAAAAGTTCTCTCGGCGCACGTGGTATGAATCAAGGTGAACTAGTGAAGCCACCCGCAAGCTCTGTGGAAACTTGCTCGCTGCAAGAATCCCCAGCGATCCAGAAAAATGGACCAGCACGTGAGATACCTCCCCATGAATTGATGGCTGATGGAAAATGCGGGTGCCTGAAAATGCCGGCACCAGCTCACCAGTTACGGGAGCCAGTCCCTAAAAAGCCAGATACCCCACAGATAAAGACTGGCTCTTCAGAAGCCAGGGAATGCAAAATGGACAGCGAGGAAAAGGCCCCGACACCTTTCGAAAGAGACCTGATCAGTTTGCCCGGCGAGTTTTTTCTCGACCTTGACCCAGAGCCCACTAGCGGTAGCAACAGCAACAGCACGTGCTGCAGTGAGAGCGAAGAACCCACGGGGAGTCGAACGGAAGATTCCGACATGGAGATTGTAGAAGCCGAAGATGAAGCGACGGAAACGGCTGACGAACAGCCGACGTTAGTGGACGGAGCTCAAGCATCGGAAGACGAGTCTCTCACTCTGTCTCTTCCCGAGAGTCTGCAGGGTTCAGAGGTCATGGAGGAGAATAACTCGCCGGAGAAGTGGTCGGTTACGTCGCCGGAGCCCGGGAAGATGAGGTTCTCTCGCCTCGACAACATCTGCAGCTCGTCGGACTCAGAGAGATTGAGCGTGAAGCAGATGACGTCAAACCGAATCCAGTTGCGAAACGGGCGTGTCTTGCCTGCAAGCCACCTTGCCTACCAGGCCAAGCTCACCACAAGCCCTCCCTCGTCAGACACGCCCACAAGCCCCACCTCTTCTTCCTCCAGCCCTAAAACCGGTCGGCTGCGGAGATCAAAACGGTTGGCGGCGTCAAGCGACCCGCTTTCCTCCCACATCTGGGGTATGTACTCGACCCATGACAGTGACTCGACCGTCGATCAATCGTTTGACACGCAACAACCGAGTGAAGATGCTTCGAGCGATGAATCTGAGTTTGAGATGCCAGATTTCGCCCCCAAGTCCGGGCAGGCAGAGTACCAGCAGACCAAGTCGCCGGGTGAAGGGAGAGGAGGGAGGGGGAGAAGAGGGAGAGGGGGGAGGGGCCGCTGGGCACGCCGAGGTGGAGTAAAGAGAGGAGGAGGGACCACAAGAAGCAGTGGTGAGTAAATTCTTCACTTTTGTTTGTATGTGATAACATCAAAGAGAATATTAGACTGCGACAGATTTGAATTGCAATCAGGATGAGTAGAACGTGGAATTCTAAACTTCTCAGATCCAAGTTAGAAAACAAGCTCTTCAACTTATTAATCTTTAGCCAATGGCGATGACATGCAGAGAACCTTCGGTGTGTGTGCTTTTTGCTGTGCACTCTTCACGGTTGGCGTAATGAAATCCAATAGCAAAGCTGAATAGTGAAGATTATAGATGACCCCATGATTTGCTACAAAAAACAATACAAAAAACTGACTGTTTGAGAGTGTTCTTTTTTGTTCAGTCGAAGGTGAAGATTTGCCATCCTCCAGTGGAGTTCAGTTCTATGAACACAAACCAAGAACTCGGGAAGAGGACAGCGTCTGTGAGTCTTCACCTCTTCTCTCTCTCCCCCACCTTCCTTCTTTTCTTTGAGTAGATTTCAGCAACTGACCACTTTGATGCAGTTTGTGAATGTTTTTTTAATTTTTTAATTTCAGTGCAACGAAGATTGGCCCTAGAAATGGAGGTGAAGAGAAATGAGAAGATACAGTCACAGCAGAGCGACCTGGTGCCGCCGCGGCAGTTCAACAATACCATCATGAAGGTGTCTATAATAATATAGTGGCTTTTGGGCAAAGAGTTTGTAGATGGGGCTGCAATTACAGGCAGGAAAGGGGTAGGCCAACTAGAAGAACTGACTGTGTTGAGATGTGCACGACCTCTATAACTATAGGGGAATCTTGTATTATGCCACTGTAGTCATGTGCAGGACCCAAGATGAGCAGTAAAAGCATAGTAAAGATGACCAGTTTTTATCTTCTTTTTTTTATTTTTTATTAATGAAGACAAATGTTCTTGCATGAAATAAGGACACCTCACTAAATTGGACACTTACTGTGCCATTGGTGTCCTGGTTTCCACTGTACATGACCTCAATGAATGACTAAGTGATATTCCACTGGGTGTATATAATTTTCTCAGGATGATGACAGAGGTAGCGTGGTTAGTGAAGGTTTACCGACCTCGGCCAGTTCTCTGGAGAGCCCACATCATCACTCCCAGTCCACCACCTCCTCCACCAAGACAGACAGTCTCTCAACTGACTTCTCGCCTGGTACTGCACACACACACACACACACACTCTCTCTCTCTCACACCTTTAGCCTTTAGCCTTTAGCCGCCCATCAGATGATGATAGCGGTATCCTAGGAAAATCCTGGATATTGATCATATTAATCATAAAGAAACCCAGATAGTCAGCTCCCAAACTGATTTAAAAAAGATCTCTGGGAGGTGTCCTATGTGTGTTTGTTTGCCTTGCTTGCTCTTTTCACAGCTCTTTCTTTAAATCTTTAGAGAAAAACTTCCCGTGCATCACTAACCCAATGAAACTTCCCTGTTTAAGTAACAGTTTTACTTTCAATGTTTTCTTTATAACGTCTTCCCTTTGGGCAGGAAAAATAATCTGCAGATATCTAGAACTTACCTTTTTTTGCCATCTTCAATTCCCTGCTTTACCGAACCAGTCTCTGTATCTCTTTTATACTTCTCTGCTGCAGTTATCTTTAATTATTTACCTGGTGTTCAGATTTGATAGCCCGGGTCAAGAAGATATCCACTGCTCGAAGCTCCGGAGACACTCCGCTACACAAGTGCTGCAGGACAGGGAGATTTGTGAGCATAGTCACGGTTTTCTTTCACGCACCTCTTGATAGCAGTGGGATAATCTCTCTGAGTCTTACATACTACTACCACACTCATAGTGTAAAACAGACAAACTGAGCATCAGGAGAGGAGTGAAAAACAGTAGTGAGTTTACACCTAGATGCGTGAGCAGAAGAAGAAGAAGGTATACCATGCATTGTCCCTGGATGGGGCTTGCCTACAGAGCAGAGTGTTCGCGAATCCCACCTAGGACAGCTCATCTTTTTCCCCCCGAGTTGTCCAGGGTGTAGTTGACTTGTTTCTTATCCTTTGCCTTGCTATATACCGCGTTGTCACATGCATACTCGTAACCTCTTCTCACTCCTCCTTCTGTATAGTAAGTGGATGTCAAGCGGGTGATGTTATTTTACGTAACAACTGACTCTTTCAAAACTCTTCTCTCCAGGATATGGTGCGGTATCTACTGACGGTGGATGATGTCCCGGTCAATGTACAGGACAATGCTGGTTGGACTCCTCTGCATGAAGCCAGCAGTAATGGTCACGTGGAGGTGGCTGACCTGTTGTTGCAGCACGGGGCTGACAGCAATGCCTCTGCCAGGGATGGAACCAGGTGAACTAAAACACCATTTTTCCCCTTCAAAACTTGACCCAGTCTGATTTGCTACTCCCTGCTTGATACCTCTTACAAAGGACTCTGCGAATAAATAACAGCTCTCTTTAAAGAAAACTTGATTTTGCTCCATAACAAAAGAAGGGAAACCGGTGTTTAAAGCCAATTTACAATTTTAATGTCCCCAACCTTATTCATATGTTTCACTGTATAAGCCACTTTCTCTTGACCTGGTGTCGATATAGGCCAATCCACGATGCAATAGAGATTGGTAATGTGGACATGGTGAGATTACTGGTAGAGCGAGGTGCTGATCTGCTGGTGGAGTTTGGCGAGCGGACAGCTGTCGAGTTTGCCAGAGACCATAGACAGCTCGAGATCGCTGACTACATCAAGGGTGCGAGTGAAACCGTCTAAAATCTGTTTGTTGTGATAGATTTAGAACCTGCTTCTTCTTCACTTGGGGCAGTGATGTAATGTACTATATATAATATACTCTGGTTAGTTTTAGGGCAGTACCAATGTAGAATGTGGCCATTTAGAAGTGCAATTAGTGATAAATGAAAAATTGTGTTGTTAGATGTGATTCAAAAGAGGCAAGAGAAGAAGGCAATTCTCGCAGCCGCTTCGGTCAGAAACTCCGCCCCCCACCAGAAGACCACACCCACCAGAACATCGAGGAAAGATAAGGTGAGTGTAGAGTGGGTGAGACCGACAGAATGTGGTAACTTTCTCTCGTTTCCCGTCAGTTACTGAAGCAAGTTGAACATCTGGTACCTCGCATTCCTGTTAATGGATATGGACCAGGTATATATAATTATACCATGCGCCTTAACAAAGAACAGAATTTTATTAGAGCCTGTTCTGGTGAGCGAAACAAGCCAACCTAAGTAGTCTGGAATATTTCACATACAACACTGTCAACATAAGCATGTGAAATAATAGACTTGTGCTCTTTAAGAAACAAGGAAGGAAGGCTATATTTTTGCACTCGTGTTCACCAGTCACCAAAATTGAAGTATTTTGCAACTGTTCCTTAGCCTCAAAAATTTTATCATCTTCCGACTGCAGAATCTGTCAGCTTTGGAGAAGAGCTAGACTATCCACTGTTCTATGTATCGCCAGTAATAGAACTCTCGACCAGGCCACATCTCACTGTCTACAACTTTCAGATATCTCCTCCGGGAACTTTTAACCCCAGGTGCTCACATTGTCACCCACAGCATCATTCATACATACATAGTAACTGTAGAAGTCTAAAAGCAGCGTGGTGGTGGCTCTTAGGGAAAGCCTTGGTTTTTTTGCACGTGTGTCATTTTTTCCCTGCAAACTTGTGATTAGTGCTTTAAAATCTTCACCCCTGCCCTCAAGCAGTCTTCAAGTAGTTAAATTTTTTGTTGCAAGGGATGCATTTTCCCCCCCAGGCGGCACAATTTTTACATGATGGACGATATTTTGGAGACGCTCGGCCTAACTGAAGACGAGTTCATTTCAGAGTGTCGTGACGTAAATATTCTCGAACTGACAGTGGCAGAATTCATCCACAGAATGAAAGTCTCCCCGTACAACATGCAAGTGGCCATCCCTGAAAAAACCAAGGCCCTGCCCAAAAAGCAGGCTATAAAGTTTGTGCCGCTCTGCCGAATGCTATCTCAGATGTTAGACATCTTGACGGAGAATATGGACAACTAGAACGGAGTTCACCGTGTGTGTGTGTGGTGCTAATCTGTCGCAAGGAAATATAAAATCCGGAAATCCGTTGAGATTATCTCGAAGCCCTATCTCACTCTCCTTATGTGTGTCCTCTCATTTTATCAAAACGAGTCCCCCCCTTCCGTCTGTCTGTGTCTCTATCATTTATACATTCACACCTCACCCTGACTTTATGTGTATGATGACTACGAGAAAATTTAATTAAAAAATTCGCTTACAGTTTTTTACAATCAGTTGTTATCCAATGGTTTCACTTGTGCTAATGAACTAATTTAGAGAAAAATTTCATATTACCCGAGAGGAAAAATTGTGAGAGAAGAATAGGCTTTGTTGGGAGTCAGTTTCTGTCCTTGCGCCATTGCCATGCGTGCATGACTCCGTCTGAGTCACATGATAGTATCATGGAATGAAACGTGGGATGCCAGGAATGGACTGTGACCCTGCAGAGCGGGTTGTCAACCTCGTGTCCCTCGTGGAGGAAAACTGGCGATGGATCTGCATAATTAATATATTACGTACAGTGGAACCTCTCTAAGGGCACACCTGAATTGAGTACACCTCTCTAATGAGAAAACCTTATCTTAATGCATGCTTTTTGACCTCTGAAGCATTATAGCATATTATCTTGCTCACTGGTGATGTCGTTGCTCCAAGAAACAATGTCATAGATAGCCACGCCTCTCCCGGGCCCTGATACTGAAAGCTCGTTGGAGGACTGAGAAAACTAGCAAAGACACACATTTGTAATAGGTGCTGCAATTACACCTTTCCCACACCTGCACACATGGAGTGATTGGTTTGGTCCCAGTAGTATTAAACTGACTCCACGAAGGCATGGTATCGTGTGCAGTGGAACTCAAAGACGCACCTGAAATGAGGACACTTTCTCTACTTCCTTTCCCCGAGAACATGCAGTTCGTGCATACAGTTGAACCCCTGAAATAAGGACACCTCACTAATTATGGACACTTTTTTCTGTCCAATTGGTGTCTAGATTAGAGGGGTTCCACTGTATGTATCAGTTATACATGAAGCCTGTGGTATCCATGACGCTCCACGTCTATCAAAAATCCTCAGTCTTCCTCTGTCAGACAATGTCGCACACTTGTTCCCACACACTGCCATTGCGTGACCCCCCTCGGTTCCCCCAGAACTGGCCCCAGTGGTTGGACTTGGTGAGAACTTCAGCGACCCCGTGCCAGGGACGCGAGAGTCCCAGAGTATCAGTTCCCCTCTGTCGGAGCAGGTGAGAAAAATGTGGTTCTCCCCTGACAGTGACTCCACTGCATGTATGGCAACATCAGACCCTCTCTTGTCTTTTGGAGTATCTATACATAAACTTTAAACTTTAAACTTACAAAGGGAAGCATATGAAGGACTGTACATCAAATCTAGTGGTCTATAGTGCAAAATATTTATTGAGACTACCAAATTTTTGCACACAGTTGCACAAAAAAATAGCAGTAGATTTTACTTACAGGACCAAAGTGGCTGTAGGGTGTTTAGGTCAGTGACTTGAAGTGTGTTCAGAGAACTTCCAGAGACCAGAGACTGGGGGTGACCGAAGGTCCACGATATCAGCAACCTTTGAAAGAAGGAGAGCAGTTTCGAAAAAGAACTAAAACAAATGCTAGATATACAGAGAAACACCTGAACAAGGGAGATATCAAAAGTTTGTCCTAAAAGCAGAGGTGTCCCTTATTAAGAGGTACTATATTGGGGAGAACCAAGTGTCCTTATGGAGGAGTGTCCATCTTACTGATAGGCTGGTTTTTCTAATCGCAGTGTGTGTGTTGGCCACCTACTCTGTCGTGTCTGGGTCCGTAGAGGTCGGAGTGGGCGTGGCCACATTGCCCGTGGAAACAAGGAGATCAGGTGATCCAGGGTCCGGCTCCCATACCGTCAGCTCTGGTCCCAGTCCACTGGTAATTATCACATTCCTAACAAAGGAAACATAAATTCTGTTGTGGATGGTCTGATCATCATTACCACGATTTTTCATATACGCAACTGACTCTTCTGATAGAATAATGTAATACTGTATGTTGGTAACTATGAACCCTTAAAATATTAGTTAAAAGACTTTTTACTACCGTATTTGGTCCGCACATCGGATGTGGTGGATGGGCCCTTTGGCTAGAGCTCCACGACTTATCTTGAAATCCCGTCCAGCCAACAGCGTCTGGTCAATAACGACATCATCGCACTACAATCTCTCCACAGAAAGCTGCTGAATTTACTTGTTTGTCTGCTGCAATGAGTTTCTCCGGAAGAATAAGCTGCAGCAACTCATTGTGCTTCACTTGCGAAAATCCCGCCAAAAAGAGGGCTGTAAATAGATATTACAATAGTCTTGCTTTCAAAAAATATAATCTCATACCTGTGCCATCGTGGCTCCATTCCATGCAGAGTGTGGGCTCTTGCAGCTCGAACACATGAAGTCGTTCATACCTTGAGCATGCGCATAATTACTCCTTACGCATGCGCGGCTTCGCACGTGCGTTAAAACTGCGGCGCGCGCGAAAAGTGGTCTTTCTGTGTGTGTGCATTGTGTGAATATCAGTTACCTGTCCAATGAATCCAGGACCCAGTCTTTCTCCTCGTCTGCCTCATACCCTCTGCTTACAGCCATTGCCCTATATGGCCAGACGAAGCACGCACACGTGCGCACCGGCACTCGGCAGTGACGACGGTTATTCTGATTAAAGATCACCGCGCCACTCCCATCAAATTCGCGACCCCAGACAAAACGTGTGCTCTCCAGCGGTTTTGTACAGCTACTGAAGAAGAAGCGCTTTACATACGACATCCACGGAGAAGTAAACGTGACAGCATCCCCGGTTAGTAGCTCAGAAGAGACGAGAAAGCAAAGACAACCCCCCATCCTCACCTGACCTGGGAGTAAAACTAGGAGAAGGCGGAGGGAGAGAGCGATGCCGCTGTTCAAGTCCTCCCCCAAGAGCCCCCAGGAGCTGGCCAAGGGTCTGAAGGAGGCGCTGGGGGTGCTGTCCAGCGGGGGAGCCAAGAGAGCCGAGAAGGCTGCCGAGGAAGCCGCCAAGATCCTCGGACAGATCAAAGTGGGGCTCACCTCTCTCTTATCAGGACACTTTCCTGTGGTGTCCTGATACCGCTATCCTTTTGTCCTGATTTCGACTTCCCTTGTCCTGATAGTGCTATCAGGACACTTCCTTTGGTGCCGTGATAGTGCTATCAGGACACTTCCTATGGTGCCGTGATAGTGCTATCAGGACACTTCCTATGGTGCCGTGATAGTGCTATCAGGACACTTCCCTTGTTCCCCTCTCATTCAACTACCCCCTCCTCCATATAAGGTGATGCTGTACGGATCGGGTGACCAGGAGCCGCAACCGGAACTGACCGCCCAACTCGCCCAAGAGTTCTACAATCACGACATTCTGCTCCATCTCATAAACAACATGGCAAAACTCGACTTTGAGGTAATGTTACTATTTCTAGTTTTAGTGACGATGTGCATCATTACATCGTTGTGTCTCTGGGTTGCCAGGCGAAGAAGGACCTGGCACAGATCTTCAACAACGTCCTGCGTCGCCAGATTGGGACCCGCTGTCCAACTGTCGAGTACTTGTGTTCCAAATTTGAGCTCGTCCTCAAACTAATTAGAGGGTAAGACTCTATTCAATACTATATCTATCTCCTGGTTTGATGTGGTGTAGTTAGCACACTGATTACAGGGTGAGTAGTAATCTCTAGAGCTGGCATTATCATCTCTCTGTCAGTGTAGAGTAGAAAATGTGGCGTGAGACACAAAAACAGGCAGGGACTTTTTTCCCATTTTCCTCAGCTCACTTAAGCATTTCAATTTGGCAATTTGAAGGCAAACTGCTAAATATTGGATATATATTATGTGGAGTGTGACTGCTATTCTCGATGTCTCTATATGAAAAGGTATGAGAATCCGGAGGTCGCCCTCAACTGTGGCATGATGCTGAGAGAGTGTGTCAGGCACGAACCGCTCGCCAAACTCATTCTCGAAAACGGCGATTTCTACCTCTTCTTCAAGTTTGTCGAACTCTCCACTTTCGACGTCGCCTCTGACGCCTTCGCCATGTTTAGAGTGAGTCTCATGTACTTGCACGCCGTGTAGTAAAATTTTTATTGAATGGGGCAAAATGTTAGTGGACTCGCCTGTGAAATTATGACCACCTCCAAAATTTTGCCACTGGTCATTTGAAGGATTTAAATTTTACTCTACTGTTGGCAGGATTTGTTGACGAGACACAAAATTCTGTGTGCAAATTTTCTAGAAACAAACTACGAAAAGGTAATACTATTCATAGTGATAAAATAGATTACGTAATGGTGACGTCATTGTCATGTCAGGTGTTTGTAGACCACTACCAGAAGCTACTGAACTCGGAAAACTATGTGACTAGAAGGCAATCCCTAAAGGTGGGCGGAGCTAGCAGTATGTGCCAATCTTTTCAATATTTCTCTCTATTTATGCACATTAAAACCATTGATTCCAGTGTGTGATCGCTTAGTGATTCTACCACTTCAATATTACTATCTAATTATCTGAAAGTGTTTTTAAATTTCTCTCTAATTATCCATGCAGCTACTGGGGGAGTTGTTACTGGACCGACACAATTTCACAACCATGAGTCTCTACATCAACAACCCGGACAACCTGAAGCTGATGATGAAGATGCTTATTGATCCCAGCAGAAATATACAGTTTGAGGCGTTCCACGTGTTCAAGGTGGGTATGATATACGTATAGTTGCCAACTGTCTTCTTTCCAGGAGAAGGAGTGTTCTTTTGTACAAACTATGCAACAGTCGAACTTCTTGTGTGACACACGCTCCTTTCTGTAATGGGTATTATATCTGGTATGGTTATGAAGGAAACTCTGTGTAATTATAAAGGACACTTATTTCACGGTCCTAGCCTGTCCTTTATACAGAGGTTTTTTCAATAGGTGTTTGTGGCCAACCCAAACAAATCGAAGCCGATACTTGACATCTTGCTGAGGAACCGAGAGAAACTTACAGACTTCCTCACAAAATTTCACACAGATCGCACAGGTGGGCAGCTGTCCCGAGTTATATTGGGACAGGTCAATCCTTTAATGGGGGGCAACCACAATTGATGAGAAAAATGTTTTTCTCTGCAGAGGACCAACAGTTTAACGATGAGAAGCAGTACTTGATCAAACAAATTCGGGAAATGCAACCGGCTGCGGATACTGCCACGGCAACGGCAGAAGCAGCTGCCGTATAACACTTCTATTTAGAGCACACTCACACCCGCCGTCATGTGTACTGTGGCATTTGAAACTAGCCAGTTTTTTGTACAAAAATGAGTTTGTCTATTGAGTCTGTTCAATATAATTATTATGTATATTATACATAATATGCAAGATTTTAAAACGTGTTGAAAATGATGAGTGAGTAAAGAGTTAAATCAGTCGGTCTTTGGTTGGTAGTGACGGTACTCTGGCTTTAGGTGCCACATGTTTCTATGAGGGGCTTTGACACTGTACTGGCACACCTCCTTCAGAATCTCTCGGAGATAGGACTAAAGGGAGGGGTGGGTAAAGAAGACATATAATCCATTTGTCATTGAGTAGGAAATGTTATGAAGTATGGGAAGTTGATGCTATGTACCAACCACTCCTCTTTCTCTCCCCTTCACTCTTTCTTCTCTGCTCTCTCTCTCCTCTACACATCATACCACCGGTTGCTGAGTCTTCTGAACCAGGTCCTTGAAATTGTAGTACTCGTGTTGCTGGAAGGCAGAGAAGATTAGATCGAGGACAACTTCCCTGTCGTCCTTTGCCCTCTTCCCAGCCTCCTTCTTTTTCTTCTCGTGATCAGCCTATGGAGGAACACACATTGGAACCTCTTTATAATGCACTACAAATGAACGACACCTTACACTATACTGTATCTTTAGCATAATACAGTGTCTATGAGGTGGGCATGGTTTAAGTGAAGTAATAGGGATTGGTGCATCGAGATAGTGTCACTGTTCCACCCTCCAACTATAGCCAATGGATTGGGGGTGGTTGGTTTGCCATTTGTTTTACTCACGTGTCTTCAAAAAATGCAAACCCTTGTGGGGTAGGGAACGGGTTTGGAGTGAGGGTGCAATATGGAAGTGTAGTTATAAATCAAACATACATATTCTTTTTGGTGTGATCGTGGTTTGTAGACGGTGGCTGGAGCTCTGTCTAACTGCTGTGCCGTGTTCTTCGTCTTCCCAGCTGCCCTGAACTGGTGCCTATAAATAGCCAACCAAGTCAAATATAGGAACATTACGACGTGGAGTTCAGACCCTTTCAGCTTCATGTAGACTTCGCTGCTGGGAGGCTGGATGTCTGCTCGTTGGCTCACTTTCCCTTCTGCCATTAGTTGACCACACCCACCAGCCACGCCCACCTCTTCCGAGAACGTACAGAGGGATTGGGATGAAGTGTTTTGCATATGAACCTGAAAAAGTATACCAATCTAGTGTTGTGAAGCAAAACTTTTTTACCTTGTGTTCAGCAGGTATTTCTACCCCCATATCCGCCTGAGCCTTCTGAAGGAGCTTCGGAGCAACAGTAAAACTGACTTGAAGCCGCCCCTTCGCCCTGTATAAAGCACACCACATCCCGTATACCACAATGGTCAGCTGGGCTTACGAAGCGTCGCGCATGACGCCCAGCTCGGCTCCGGGCTCCGCCTTTGACCACACGTCGGAGAGGTAGTTGGGGACTTTCACCAGCCACACTTCTCGAGTCGCTCGCGACACGTCCAGCGCCCGCGCCGGCTGCTTACTGCTGCTACCCTTCTCGCTCATCTTCTCTCCAATTAATCCCCACCACCGACGGACTTTGAACTACCGCACGTGTCAAAAAATGTTTCACACAAATTTGTATAACCCATGAAAAATTATAGGCTCCTGCATGCTTTGAGGGTGTCTTTTGTAACTGCCAAACAGTGAATTATAGAGTCTTGTTCGTTTTTTTCACTTTGGTATGAGCAGACTGCCCACTTCCGAGCTTTCCAAACGATAGGCTGGTTTGCCAGAGGCTTTGGTTCCTAGGGAGTTGTAGAGGTCTCGAGCTGTTGCGAAATTTTCAGAGCTCCACGTCGAAGACGAGGGGGATGGAGGGAGAAGTCCCTGGGAGGAAGAGGAGGGGGTAAGTGAGTGACTGAGGGAACATTGAAACAGCACATTCTTCCCACTGAAGGCATGGTACAAGGGCAGTAGTGAATAAACATTGCGTGTATAGAATAGAGACTAAACACACTCGGACACCCGGTAAAAAAAAACAACTAGTGCCCCTTACACACATGTTAGTGAAATGCTCAACAACACACTACACTGAGAAACACACATACACAAGCACCCAGGCTAACGCCGTGGACTGCTGGTCTACCTTGGCGGATTTTCCTAGTCTTCTCCGTAGCGCAAAGTCTGCTGAAGCCAACAGTGCTTGTCTGTGCGGCCCGATATTGACACACACGCGACAATTCTCATTAGCAGTCTTGATCCCCGACACCCCCGTCATGGCAAATTCAGAGTCGCCAAACGGACTCGCCAGGAGTTCCTCTGGGAGCCTGTTTCCAGTTTCCACGCAGAGAGTCTCTTCTTCTCTTGCGAGTTGTTTCGAAACCGAGGACGAGACTAGAGCAAACAGGCTCGGCCCGGCGAGAGCACGAGACACGCCCAGACGAGAGAAGACTGCCCCGGGACTGAATCGCTGGACGGCCGAAGTCGATGATGGTTTGGGTCGCGGGAGACTGAGAGAGCTAATGGTACTCCAGTCCAACTTTGGAGGAGGTTTCATGGCTTCTCCAGACTCGCTGGCACCGGTGTGCTCTGACTCACTTCTGCCTTTATTATAGTGCTCTGTTCTTTTCCGCATACTTGTCCCAGCCGACATCGACGACGACGAAGAAATATCTGCTCGACTCGTCTTACGACTGCTCGTGGTCTCACCGGAACGAGGTTTTTTAGGCAGGGGTGCCTCTTTATCAGTGTCGGGAGCAGAGCCACCGACCGAAGACTCATATCGTCTCTTTCTCTCGAGCGATTCGCCACTCTCCTTGGCCGGACGGGGATGTCTCTCATCTCGTGGAGGGAGAGCACTCGTGTCTGAAGGCTGGTCCTTGGAACCGATGTCTAATGGTCTCGCTCGCTTCAAGTTAGCGTCAGGTGGGGGAGTGCAGATTCCCTCCGAGTTTTCTCTTTTTCTCTTTCTTGCTAGCTCCCGTGGTGGTTCTGGCCACTCCTCCTCGCGTTTTCTTCTTCCTTCTCTCTCGTCTCCTCTCCCTCTCGCTCGTCCCTCTTTCCCGCCCTCCCCCTCTCCCCCTCCCGCACCCTCAACCAACGGAGCCAACGAGGAAGAAGAAGATGGCAGTGTTGGTTTCTCAGGCCAACCGTGTCTCTCTCCACCTTTCTCTCTCCTGTCTCTCTCGGGCAAATGATGTGGTTTGGCGGGCCTTCTGCCAACATCGTCTATACCACTGCCTTCTAACCTAGCCCTGAGAGCAGTAACAAACACACACACACATCACCACTACACAACTACACAACACACCAACTGTACACGGCAACAGAAATAATGTTGACGATACAAGACCAACACAAAGAGACAGGTGTGTATTTGAAAGAGTTTAGAGGCCAGTAAAATTGCCACAGCCAGATAAAAACCTGCTGGTTTTGTCATTCCGCGTGACACTATTTGGCCGAGGCGGTCAGTACAGGAAAATAGGCGATGGCTTCCTTTAGAGAGACCTAAATTGCCCCATTGACAAGGCAAGTCACAATACACACCACATCAGACCTAATAAGGACCCCTTGCACATAATACAATCAGTCCATGTATGCTCATGGTATAGCATCCATTGTATGCATATCAATGCTGCACACTCACACACAGACACCCATAGAAAGGAAAGAACTATTGAGTGGCTATGGGGAAATTGAAACGCAAACATGCAAGCAATACCCTGACTCTGCAAACAGGCCACCATTCATGGTCACACACATACACACAACATTTTATAGCTATCAGACAAGTAATTGCCAGCCAGCCAGTGCTGCAAAAGCTGACACAGATTATACTAGGAGACGAGCTTAAACACAAACAACGTGTTGACACTATCAGAAAGTCGTTTCATAGTAGATACGTACAGAAAACGTACATGAAAACGAGCAAATTTACAAGACCACGGGAGACAGACGCACAAAGTTACCACGTTTACGAGAGATACACGAACAAGTGTGGGATTGTCTGGGCCACAAAATTAGAGCCAAGGGGGCCCTAATGAATCAGATCATGCAGGGGAACAACTTCTTTTCAAGAGCGGGAGTCTGACACACATTCACGCTAGAAAACTTTGCAGGCAGGAAGAGAGGGGGGGTTCAAAAAGTGTTGTGCTCTTGGCGTAATTGAAAAAACCAAACAGAGAGAGAGAGTGAGAGAGAGAGGGGGGAGGGTGTACAGTGAAGATACATGCGTGTGGAAGCAAGCTGGCCAGCCCCACACATAGACTTTTTGGCACCAGCCCATCTATATGGCCCAGCAAGCAAAGCATACCATATTAGACTGAAATTCCTATCAGCCACATAGCAGGCAAATCTCATGAGAGCCGTGCCATTCGTGAATTCAGCCACCCAAAAAAGCATCCATAAGCCAGGACATACATTATTACAACAGTCTTAGCAGGGAGGCAGTTGAAGTGAGAAGGGGTTGACTGACCACTTGCCACAGACTTTTTAAAAACTGCCCCTGAAATATTATGAGCTCTCAGCCTTGCTCTAATGAGGGCCTGATTAGAGGGGCCATGAAGATGCGGAGAGGTTGAGGCCAGCCAACTGGCAATCCAGAGCACAGACACGTAAACTCCTTTCAAGGTCATGTCCCAAATGCTAGACCAGCTGTTTTATATAGTGTACTAACACAGCAAACCTCTCTCTAATGACACACCTGAAATGAGGACACTAATACGAACACCTTTTCATTTCTCAAGAACAGTTCTTTACCCCTGCAATAAGGCCACCTCACTAATAAGGACACTTTCTCTTCCGTCCAATAAGTGTCCAGATTAGAGGGGCTCCACTGTATACGCACACTGCCACTCACTTTTTGTCAGGTCTGTTTCTCTTTCTTCGACTTTCCTCCACCAATTCCCCTGCTTCCCCATCGCTCCCCGCACCCCCCTCTGGAGGGGTCCCCCGTTTCCCCTTACCCCCTCCGACCCCCCTGCCCCCCTCATTATTACCACTGTTCCCCCCACTACCACTTCGATTCAGTTTACTCAACTTGTCCTCATAGCCACCCATGAACGGTTTCGACAGAATGTCTTTGCCGGTCGGAGATAATCGATCGGCAAGGTCACGAGATTTTCTTGGTGCAGGGGGAGGAGGAGGGGGGAGGGGGGACGTGAGGGAGGAACGTTTCTCACCCCGTCCTCCCCCGACATCTCGGGGTGGCTTTTCGGGGTACTCCAAGTGTTCGGGTTCCTCGTGGTAGTGTTTGTGAGAGCGGTGACGAGATGAGGAAGGGAGTGGGGGAGGAGGTGGAGGTACGTCACGATAGTGCATCTGTTTCTTTTCCTCATAATCTTGATGGCTGTAAAAAGCAGTGGGCGCTGTTTTCTCACCTACACAATGGTGGCACATACTGTACCTCGGTTTTCTTTCCCTCAAGCTGTCATCTCTGGCTCCTGGGTGAGGGTGTGAGTGTGGGGGAGGGGGGAGGGGGTGAGTGTGGTGAGCCTTATCCAAGTGCTTGTCAGAGCTGTAGCGACGATGGCTTGGTGGTGGTACAGCCTGCAAGAAGAGTGTTTGAGGCTCAGTAAGAGCCGACAGCTGTGTGTGACCTGATCTGGTGACGTAGGACCGGCTGGACCCAGTCGAGCAAACACACTGACCCTCTTCTTACTGCTCATTTAGCAGTCACGTGACCCTGGACGTAAAGAGCATTCTGATTTCAAAGCAGAGGTCCAATGAGTTGCACGTTTATAGTGAGTACCCATTACAGTTTTACATGCGAAAAGCCCACTCACAACGATAATAAGCAGGCCTATCTTGGTTCTGCCTCTCTTCTCCCAGGATTTCTCCAATTGATACGCACCCCAAAACAGCGCACGTGATGCGACGGGGCTAAAAATAAACTAGCTTTTACCAAAAGTGGGTGGAAAGCATTGAAAGACGGGCTAAATTTAGCTACACAAATTCCGTGACGTCATAGCGAGTGGCTGACAGGTCACGTGCGAGGCCGTGTGGTCAGTAATTTTCACTTCCTTCCACCCACCCAGCTCTGCGGCCTAGCCTCCTTGCAGACCTGAGGATTCTCAGTCATTTACACTTCCCAGGTGCTACTCTCCCCTCTCTTCGTTGACCGACGGCAGTAGAATGTCTTGGGACTCGTACATCGACAACCTGATCGCCCAGACGAAGGACTCCAGTGGCTCTGCACACGTAGACCGGGCGTGCATCATCGGTTTGGACGGCGGCGGTGCGTGGACTACAGCTGGACACTCGGCCGCCTTGAAGGTGAGTTCCTGTCACTGCAAATGTGCTAATCGGGTGCTAAACGGTGAAGGGGCAGTCCTGTAACTCAGTGGGCGGCCGTGCCTAGTCGAGTCTTGTAGCAAATAAAACCTGTAGCGAACGCGGTAGGGCTTGGTAACCATGTGTGTATGGCGCTGTGTTTACAGCGTTTTCATAGTTTGGGGGAGAGTTAGTTTTGCCTCACGTGGTGGCCTTCTGGCGCCGTTTTTGCATGAAAGAACGGTGCACCTTTGAGTAAAACTTACGGTTACCTTCATTTTTTCGCACACCAACAGCTACAGGGGTCAGAGGGGGCAAATGTCGCCAGGTGTTTCAAGTCAAAGGATTTCTCTACGTTCATGACGAGCGGCGTTAGAGCAGAAGATGTCAAGTATCAGTTTCTCAGAGAAGAAGACACAAAAATTGTCTATGCAAAGAAGAAGGGCTCTGGCGCGCTCACACTCCAGGCATCAAAAACAGCCATCGTCATAGCACACTGTCCCGAGGGTAGCCAACAGGGAAATTGCAACAAGGGAGTCGGAGTTATAGCAGAGTACTTGGAGAGTCTCAACATGTAGAAATCGATTCTCTGCCCTGGTGTTTGGGTATCCCCACCCAGACTCCACCCCCCATTAGTTTGAACTTTGTGTGCCGCTCGCTTGCTACTAGCAATGGGAGATTAGCTGTTTAGAATATTAACACACATGGTAATTTATACACTAGTAGTGCAGGCCACACACAATGCAATTTCACTATAATAAATGTTTGAAACTTGTGTGGAACTTATTTTGAATTTGAGAGTTTTTCGTGACGTTGTTGCGTTTGCACGCAGAGCGAAAACAATTGGACGGCAGCCGTCCTGCTACGCTATGCTGATTTTGCAAAATCTGCCAAAATGTTGCATCATGTGGTGCATGAAAATTTGTGGCAGTAATGACAGATGATTTGGAGGAATGCAGAGTCTAGTACATGAGGCTCCGAGCTCTTCTTCCAAGACCGTGGCGATCATAGATAGTGTTGACTTTCTGCACCAACTGTTGAGAAGGGACAAAGTGCAGCAATAAATGGAGTTCATACAAAGGCATCAAAAACAGCCATCTTCATAGCACACTGTCCCGAGGGTACACTAGACCACCTTTTACTGGCTTTTTGCCTCTGACATTATTGCCCACCACTGATCACAGTATATATTAGGGGACTCAAAACCATAAAAGGCTCAGCTGCCAATACAACATTCAATGCCATGTGACTGTATACCTCGCTGGTAGTGGCGAGCCCCTTTGTAATAGTGGCCAGGTATGTCATCAACACCACATCATTTGTCATCTACAAACAAGACAATGTGGGAGAGGTATAATACACACACAAACCAATATAATACAGGGAAATGGTCATGTTTTCCTTTCAGAGAGTTCTATATTTCACTTCAACCTGAAAGTATTTGTACACACACACACACACACACACACAAAACAAATCCAACTTTTGGGGGAAACGTACGCTGTGGAATTCCTTCTGGAAGGAAGTACCGTCTAAAACAGGCAACTGGTGGCACAGGCTCGACACTTTTCTGAGTATTTCATGGTTCTTAGGAAGGTCACCTGGGGGAGAGTTAGACACTTGCTGAAAACAACAGTTCCACAGACAAGGAATTTGACAACTCGAAAAACACAAAAGTACTGTTTGTCATTGTATATATAGCTGCATGGGGGTACAGACTATCCCTTTACCGGCTTGGACTGCCTTGAGGTAGTCCAGAAGAAGTCTGACGCGAGAATGAAGCATCTTGACGGCACCGTGCTGTGCACTCAACTGTTCTGAAACTATGTACATATGTACTGTGACCACATCAGGTAAAAATGGAACCTCATGCCCACTATAGAAACTGAAAGTGAAACATACATACACAAATCTCAAATGTATGGCAAGACAACCTGTGTCACTTAGTGATATAAAGTTGTTGTGCACTTAAGTGTGTGTGTAAGGTTCCAATTTTACATGATGCGTTCACATGTGAACACAGATGCACATAATCTCAAATGAGTGCGGATGAGTCTAAAATAGTAAGGGTTTACCCACCAGCCGACGTAAGTGTTGTCCCAGCTACTGAGCTGCGAGCCACATGGTCCACTCCGATTCTTTCAGCTTCTTCTGTGGCCAGGGTGTAAGAGACTGGGGTGAACAAGACAGTCGCCTGCAGATATGGTAACAGATGGAGAGGGGGGAGGGGGAGGAGAGAGGAGGAAAAAGCGGAAGAACAAAGTGCAGAAAGAGAGGAGGAGAAAGGGAGAGGAAAGGCAGAGGAGAGAGAGAATGGGAGTGGAAGAGAGGGAAGAGGAAGAAGAGGAGAGGAAGGAGGGAGAAAGGACAGAAGGGGTAACAGGATGGCGTGGTTGGTACAGTATAATTGCCAACATCCTTGCCATTCTAAAAGGCAGGAAACTCACCCTTCCTTCACCTATCTCTATCAGAGACTCATAGATACTCAGGGGAAGCTGAGTGGGAGGAACAGAGGTGACATCACACACTGGACTAAGCCAGTGAGAGAGCGAGAGGATGGCCAAAGAAAGAGGGGGAGGGAGAAAGGGAGAGAAGAGAGAGGAGAGACCAACCTGATCTGTTCTTGAAATTGGGCTCAGTTTTAGAAGCAGCCCATTCTCGCTGTCTGGGCACACCTAATTACAGTTCAGTGTGTATTCTCCGTTTGCTCACAGTACAATGAGGTAGTACACACCTGCTGGTGGAACTCTACATCTTCTTTCGTTGGACTCCCTCCAATTGTGTACCAACCTACAAACTCCATCGTCGAGAAAACCTGCTTGACTAGGGTAGTGGAAGAGAGGTGAGTGTCCAATCCTAAAACGGGTCGACTGGATATACACTCACACTGTTCTTCTTTGGAGGCGAGAAAAGAGCTCTGTCAAGTCAGCATCCGCTCAACCACGCACACAGCTCAAAAGAATTGCAGATGTCAATACTGCGCCCCTTTTGCGTTCCCAGCAACGCTCCGTACACTTGAGCATAAAAATACAGAGTGAAGGCCCTAGTATTCCATGTATCGCGCACCATTAGGTAATCCGGATTCCTCTTGCTGTTGGACCCGGACGCGCGTGAAGTGTCGGAGCGAGAACGATGTTCATGCTGAACAGCGGGTCTGGAGATGCGACGTGACCGAGCGCAGAGCCGCCAGAAGACACGTAGCTGTCTCCAGCTCCCTGTTCCTCAACCTCCATCTTGCGCTCCGAATTTTAGCGAACGAAAAGTTCAAAATATATTTATGCGCATGCGCAAACCATTGGATGAACTAGCGTTTTTTGACGTCCCATTTGTCAGTCCACTTTGTGGCCTTGTGATCAGTTCTGTGTGGCTCATCTTCGTCTATAGCATAGGGGGTGGTAACAGCCCTCTATCGGCGAACTAACGGAAGTTTTGTCGCCATATGGTGGTGGTGGGCTGGAGTCTCTTCCATCTTTCAGTAACGATTTCTTTTTCCGTCTACGACTTGACTTCTTTTTCCGTCTACGACTTGACTCTGCCTCACTCTCTTCATCAGACTGTGCAGAAAAAACAACTAACTGTTAAAAAGCATTATTTCACCGATTGTGCATTAAACACCTCATCTGAAGGGGTAGTACTCTCGGATTCTGAACTAGAATGGTGACTGCGTTATCCTTTTTTTCCTCTTCTTCTTTTCGCTTTTTTTACCCAAAAACACCAGGGAGGATAAAAACTGGTTTTGGAAAGAAGACGGGTTTCATTTACCCGTTTCTTTCTCTCCGTGGTGTCAGTGTCACTGTCCAAGGGAGAGGGAGAAGGAGACTTGGTCAAGAGAGAAATGGGGGAAAGAATTTCCATCACACATAAGACACGGGAAAATAGCTGTGTTTGTATATCTAACTGCTTTGCTTGTTTTTTCCCTCTTGCCTTGCTTCTTCTTCGTTTTTCTTGCACCAAATGTGATGAAAATAATATCAGAGAGAGTATTTTGTTTAACACCTTTTTTTGAAGATGGTTGCGTAAGCCCGGACAGACGTTTTCTACTCTTTTTTTGCCCTTCCCCCTTTTAAGCGACTTCTGGTATTATTGTATATAAACAGCAAAAAAATGGAAAATTGTCTAGCACAT